ACGCTCCCACAATTTGAATACTGTCTTTAATTGATAAAATCTGACCGTTTAGATTGAGATGATGCAAATGCAGCTTAAGAAAAAGAAGTTTACCTTTATCTAGGGTGCAAGGACCCACTCCAGGAAAATTAGCATTTCTAACATTAATTATTTAATTAGCATACAAAGTATTAGCGTTCATTATGGTCTTTAAAAAAACCAAACCAGACGTGTTTTTGTTGCTTTTCCTCAGCTATTTTGTCTATCTCCCTGTACCCTACCGGACCCTTCCACTCCCAGAAGACACCTCATGTCCCGTGTGTTCCAGCATCCTCAATACCTTCCTCTCCTCTCCTCAGAACTGACTCCTTGGAGCCCGCTGAAAATAGGATGTGAGTCCCGTTAAGGCATTTAGACCGCCTGCCCCACATTATGTTAGGTCATCTGCTATTAACTCTTCAGAGTAGAGCTCTGGTGAATGGACATAATGTGTGGGTTCCTATTTAGTTTCCAAACTGATAGACAGCAAAGAGATTCAACAGGGTTCTCTGTGTTAAACTGGAATAAGGCAGTAAAATGAAAATGTCATTTGTGTGTTTTAGGTCATTCAACCTCACTCTGTGCCTCAAGCTGAGTTCAGGCACAAGTCACTCACCTCTGCTTTCCCTGAACAGAGTACAACGGCTGGCCCCAAGAAAGCTCTTAGGGGGCTGGAGAGACGGCTCAGAGGTTAAGAGCACTGGCTGCTCTTTCAGAGGTCCTGAGTTCAAGTCCCAGCAACCACATGGTGGCTCACAGCCATCTATAATGAGATCCGCTATCCTCTTCTGGTGTGTAGGCATACATAGATTCAGAATTCTATACACATAATTAATAAATAAATTTTAAAAAAAGAAACCTCTTAGGGACCTATGAATTTGTGGATGACCCAGGTCACGGTCCCTGACTCCACTCTTCTGTAGGTATGAAATTGGAAGGATTAAGTTCTAGGCATCCAGAATGCTTGCCATGCGTGAAAGGCCCTCATGCTGGTGGCTGTCTCTATGTTCCTAACCCTAGAAGAGTGACAAATCTACAAGCAAAGTGTTCACCAAATCCCTAAGACACACTAAATGTCTTAAATAGCACATGCATACAAAATCGCAAACAAACTTATTTGAAGGAAAAAGATAGCTATGATAAATTTAGAATCTTCACAACACATTAATTGCACATGTAAAATAAACAGACAGAAAAATAAAGTCATTAGATAAAAATACACAGTTCTTCCGGCCAGTCTGGGAAATCCGTAGACTCTTGTGGCATCTCGGGAACAGGGACTCAGGACACACTGCTATTGGGCAGTGAACCATGGTGGGCAATGGCTTTGAGCATTGTGGTCTAGTGAGTCTCACACTGGAATGCCTCCCCTCCAAAGTGCACGGATTATTGTGAGCTCCTTTTCCAGCAACGACTAGACTTGTATCTGTCCGTGTTGTCCCCTCCTCCAACATACACACCAGCAGAGCGGTGGGTGGTGTCTACAGGATTTAGAGTTCAGGCCTTTTGAGCTTTCTCTTTAAACCAGGCCTTTCTTTTTCTTTTTCTTTTTTTGGTTTTTATGAGACAGGGTTTCTCTGTTTTGGAGGCTGTTGGTCCAGCCTGGCCTCGAAGTCACAGAGATCCGCCTGCCTCTGCCTCCTGAGTGCTGGGATTAAAGGCGTGTGCCACCAACGCCCGGCCTTTTTCTTTCTTTCTTTTTTTTTTTTTTGAAATTTGCTCAGTTTTATTTCTGAAAACAAGTCCTATTTACCTAAAAAATACTTCACAAAACATCTCTGCAGCAAAATGAGCTGCCTGTGTGCCCTGTGGGAAATCATTGTAACATGTACGACATTATAGGTTCTGACCCCTAAGCACATTTAGTAAAGGGTTAAGACATGCAGGTTCCTGAAGCTTGGGCTTGCTCACTGTGAACAGGCTGCCACGATCGCCTGGGCTTATTTTGACATGGACCCTAGGGCTGCACCCTGAGCATTCAGCATTGCTCTGAAAAGCGTAGGTACGGGCCTGACTGCACCGGAAAATGTGTCTCAGGATGCACGTTCCCTTTGCAAAACTGGTTCCAGGTGGACAGCGGACACCTGTGTCCCCTGAGCCAGTCAAATGAAGTGCTTGGAGGCCAGGGTCACCACATCACAGACAACTCAAGTTATGCTTCCCTGCAGAGGGAGACTGACGGGTTCGCGGCTCTGTAGCTGATTGGTTATCATGAAAGCTTAGACCAGGCCTTTCTTGCGTCAAAGAAAAGCCCCAAGTGTGAAGTTACTGATACAGGAAAGGGAGAGGGGAACAAATCAGACTCTCCAGACACCTCACCTTTAGTCAAGGTTTCAGGAAATTCTCAGCTCTGCCACAGCCTAACCTTTTAAGTGTACTTTGGAGTGGGACTCGACATTTGGTTTCTAGTACATGTTAGGGAGACATATCTGGTACTGTAAACCCAGGGCTTAGATACATCTCTTTTTCAAGTTCACCTCTGAACGCAGATGTCACTGTAGCCAGCAACAGAGAAAATTCTCTGAATGTGACTCAGTGTAAGTAATCACCCATGGCAAAGCATAACGAGTCTCAGCATCCTTCACTTGAAAACTCCAAATCTGAATTGGTTCCAAATCCAAAACTGTAGAGACACAAACATGATGCCGCAAGTAAAAAAAAAATCCCACATCTGAAGTCATATGATACGCCTAATTGAAATGGAGAGACTACTTTATAAAATGAGCCTTAGGTGTGTGGGTAGAATGAAATACCAGCGAGCTTTGTTGTGAGGCCTGGGCTGCATCTGGAGAGCTCAGGGTACAAATTCAGGTGCATGCAGTACCCTGAGTACCATCCTCGGCAGGGGGACAGCGTAGATGTCAGTGTGGGAAAAATGAAAGAACAGGCTCGGTACAACCTCAAAATGACAAGAGCAAATTCTTATTGGCTGATGCCCCAAATCCTGTGACTTGGTATTTGAGGGTACAGGAGAATGTGACATGTCATTCTGAGAACAGTTTTTGTAGTGCTTAGGGAGGGACAGGGCATGGTTCTGTTAGACCAGAAACTTTTTCTGAGATTGCAGGGTGGGAGAGTCTGCCTGCTTTTGGGACCTCTGGGTTTCAGGGCACGAGGTGAGGTGGGCCCATTACCCTTCTTTAATGAACTCATGTGTGATGCCGCCCGGGCATCCACTACTCACTAGGAGGATGGGCCGTAGCATGTAGAGCAATGGGCAACTAGCAGATGATAGACACTAGACTTTATGCTCAGGTCCCAGTAGCCACGAGTTTATTTGCTAGCTCAATGTGGTAAGAGATTCAGAGACAAGTTTAAAATTAACCAGAATACAGCTAGTATTTGCTCAACTCTCCTGATTTAATGCCTTATCTGTCACTGTATGTTGCTTCCTTAAGTGGGTGAGTTAGAAATTAAAAATGAGCCTTATTAAAAACTTGAGATTTCCAACCTTGCTTAGTTAAAGTGGGGAAAGCGTCAACAACATGAAATGAAAAAAACAAAAACAAACAAAAACCAAATGCTACATGAAAGAGAATGAAAGGTGCTGTTATAGATACGAATGCTACTTACAGCCCTCCCCCTTCATGCGGAGGCTCAAGGACAGAGTTGCAGTTCTCTGCATGATCCTCCCTCCTCAGTGTGCACAGCTTCATTAACCTGGGCTGATCGGGACACACTAGCATCCACACACACCAACACACAGTCCTCGGGACACACTAGCATCAACACACACCAACACACAGTCCTCGGGACACACTAGCATCAACACACACCAACACACAGTCATCGGAACACACTAGCATCCACACACACCAACACACAGTCCTCGGGACACACTAGCATCAACACACACTGACAGACAGTCCTCAGGACACACTAGCATCCACACACACCGACAGACAGTCTTCAGGACACACTAGCATCAACACACACCAACAGACAGTCCTCAGGACACACTAGCATCCACGCATACTGACAGACTGTCCTCGGGACACACTAGCATCAACACACACAGACAGACTGTCCTCAGGACACACTAGCATCAACACACACAGACAGACTGTCCTCGGGACACACTAGCATCAACACACACAGACAGACTGTCCTCGGGACACACTAGCATCAACACACACAGACAGACTGTCCTCAGGACACACTAGCATCAACACACACCAACAGACGGTCCTCGGGTCACATCACTATCCCTGCACTGCACAGCACCAAGAGTGGGGTCTAAGCATTTGCACTCTGGAATATCAGGCGAGCTGGTCTTTTAGCCTGGATCTGCAGTTTCTGTTAGATGTTTCCGTCATCATTTGACTGCCTAAGAGGGAAAGGTGTGGGAACGGAGAAAGAAGGAAATGAAATCTATCCATAAATCCCTCAGTAAATCCCAGAAGAGCTAGGAAGGAAAGATTTCATTTAGTATCAGTGGGGATAAGGCCATGCTCCTCTACATCTGGGAACTGATCAAAAAGTCTTAGTTCTTGCAGGAAAGAGCTTCATCAATGACAAGTGGTAGCCTTTATGTGCTTAGCCCATTATCCTCCTGATCTCTATACAAAAAGAAATTGCTAAGACACTGGTCCAGGCCCCCTTTCCTGCCAGTGGTAGCCAGGGAGTTTAGAACACATAACAAGAGCTTCTTAGTGACAGGACTTGACTAAAGACTGGCTTCTCCTGACAGCTGGAGTGCAAACCAAAACTTCCACAGTTCAAGACTATCTTGTGACTAAATCCTAATCAGTTCATGCAAGATTGGCTTTGGTTTCCAGATTAACCTCACGAAGACGCCAATTACCATTGACCCTGTTGATGGTTTTAAAAATACAAATGTGAATACAGATTTTAAACAGAACTCTGATGAAGCCCAAACCTAATTGTTCCTCTACCTTAGTTGTTGGATTTTATGTGTTCCCGCAGACACAATTAAGGAGCACGTGTTTACGTGTGTAAATAAAACACAGGTGATATGAGAATTTCTGACAAATGATTTATTAATGAAAACGTATTAACTCTAAGCTTTACTGCCAGAAAAACTTCAATATGTACAAATCAGCATGAAGTTTCCAGTCCCCAACCTTTGGTTACACGAATAAGCCGTAAGTGACACAGAACAAACATTGATTCTAATTGCAAAAGAAAAACAAACAAAAACTCCCTGACTCTCTTGAACCTGGTTTCTTTATATCATATGAGGAGTACTCTTTGATTCTACATTTTCTTTCCTCTCCATCAGTTTCTAAAATAGTGCCAATAATGGAGCTGGGGAAAAGGACGGACAAACGATTGCTTATAGGGATGATGCTTCAAAGAGTAACTGCAAGTCAGTCTGTCTTAAATAGAAACCAGTTTTAGCCTAAGATCCCGGCATTAAGTAACATAAGAAAAACTTCAACTCTTAATTTAAAATTCACAATGTAGCCAGCGCAAGCCTAACAAGGGCGGGGAGCGGAAGTCTCCAGGGATGCGTGTAGCCGTCTCCACTCGAGACTGCGGGTTTGAACCTCCTCAGGCGCAGTGGTTTCTGCTAGCCACCACAGCAGTCTGGAGAGGACAGACAAGAAGAGACCGCAAAGCCGAGGGCACCCTTTCATGGGGATTCACCAGAAATCCGACTGGCAAATAAAGAAAAGTCAAGTCAAAGAGTAAAGGCTGAAGGAGAAGAAAAACGGAAGAGAACAGCCTAAGGCCCTGTCAACAGGACGAGACGGGCTCGGATGTACAGATGGTAACTGCATTCAGAGAGAGGTATGCCCCCTTGATTACAAATGTGGATTATATACACATTTATATCAGACGACGTCAGTGCACACAGTACACCCCACGGTTCAAACAGGATGTCTCTGAGAGCGGAGCGCAAGTCCTATCCACCTGCTTCCTCAGGTCCCTGCCTTTTGTCCTGGCTGGTCAGAGGTCTCTGCACTCGACTCAACAGCATGGTATAAGAATGGATAAAGCTTGATGTCTGGTCCAGGGGTGGAACAGTTTCTGCATTCTTCATTGTAGTATCGTAGTAACAACTTAAACACTTTTCCTAGAGAATCAAAGGCCAGAACAATTGCATGTTAAGTTATCTTGATGGAAAAACTTAAAAAACAAACAAACAAAAACCTATTTTAATTTACCTTAAATAATATAAGCTTAGATTTGACTTCTAAAAATATAGCATGAGTTTCTAATGCACAGAAGGCTTTCCCGGACACAAACTTTAACATTAAAAAAAAAACTTTATAGGAACTTAGGCTATGATAACAGGCTGTCCCGACTCCATTGTCCATGGATTGTGTACAGAGTTCAGAGCAACTCCCAGCTCCCAGGGGAGCAGCACGCTTGTGAGCACGCTGCATTCTCCTAAATCTGGCAGACTGAGGGCGTGAGGACTGCCAGGTTTCCATTATCTCCCCCTCCCCCACCCCTCCCCTCACATGTGTCTTTAATATGCGCTCGGCATGCCCTCATACCCTTTTAGATTTCTGTATAAATAAAAGTAAAAATGGACGTCAATTCTAGCTTCCTAACTGTTTTTTGTTTTTTGTTTTTGAGACAGGGCTCACTATTATTGTATTACCCAGACTGGCCTGGACTAATGGCCTCCCAACTGGCTGGAATTACAGGTACAGACCACCATGCCTGGCTAGGGACCTCACTCTGAGATGACAAACTTAAGTCAGTGTCATGCTGACATTCTGCCAGGAAACAGAGACCAAAGCTCTGCTGAGCTGCCTGCGTAAATGCTCCATCGCCCCCCCAGCTCCTGCCAAACCTTTCCTCCATGATCCCACAGACTTAGCAGTTGTTCCTTCTGGACGGAACACATCCATCTAGATAGCAAGTGTCAAGCCTATGTCCTACTCACCAACATTCAGCTTCCTCTCAGTAAGGAAAGTGTGCATGCTGTAAATGTCTCTCATCAATTCTGAGTCCCCAAAGGTGAAATAAACCACGTCGCGTTCAGCTGCAGCTGCTGCCAGTATCTGTATTAAGGCTGTAGCAAGGAGAACAGGCAGTTATGTCATGGCACTTCCTATCAATGCACCCCAGCTCTCTCAAGCAGCTGCAGAAGCTGGCACGGCACAGATTTATCCTGGGTTAAGGATTTACAAACCCAATGTATATGTTATTAGGTACAGAGAATACAAGATGACACAAACTATCCAGTTTATGGCTCTCAGGTATGCTTTGGAGAATAACATTCAACTGCAGCAATCTCACACAGTTACCTTCTCTGAACCACAAAGGAAAATTCACTTGAAGCAACAAACCAGGGCACACAGGCAGTATTTATAATTACTCCGTTAATCTTGAATTATTTTTGTTTGCTCAATTTCATACTTTTGTCTCATTACACACTCATTGCTCTTCTGCATCACAGCCCTATTTGGGGGTTCTGATGCTATCACTGACTGCTACAAGCATTCCCCACACAAACTGCTAAGCACCCCACATCCATCCAGCACCCACACCTATCTGTTCCTGCCACAGAGAGTCAGTGTTCCTGAAGATGCTGAAATGAGTAACCCCTGGTGCATTAGAACAGAAAAACAACTGGGAGTCACTACCTCCAGTCAAGGCTACAAATCTGCTATATTTAAGAAAGGGTGAAACAGTGCACATTAACTTACGCTCAAATGGTCCAGTAGGCAAATGCACTTTCTCCCAAGTGTGTAACACCTGAATTCAATCCCCAGACCCACATGGTAGAAGTAAAACCTGGATTCCCACAAGTTGTTCTCTGCCCTCCATATGTAGTGTATGCGCACATACAAACATAATTAATTAAAATGAATAAGGACTGTGCTATTTTTACCTTTAAAAAACAATAAGGTCCTTGTAGGTTCAGGCTGGCCTTGAACTCACAATCCTCCTTCCTCAGTGACTTGCTTTAGTGTCTACCATGAGTACTATTATTATTTTTGACAATGCATGTGAGACCACCTAAATCCTGTCGTGCTTTTTAAACCATATTTACTGAGTATCTACAGCCTGGAGACACCATGACTAGTCTCATTAATCTTAGAATGCTGAAATTTCAAAACAAAGGTAAGTTTTAATTAAAATTGCTCAACCAACTTATGCATATATTAAAGCTTCAGAAGGCCCAGTTTTAAAAGGTTCCCAATTAACCTTAAAGTGCATATAAAAATGGAAACTAATGAATTGTCATCTTTTACCAAGACACAGCTTTACCTTTCAGAGAGAATGAAGTTGGCCTTGCAGGCTAGGAAAGGCCTTGTCGGTTGGTCTTGGTCTCACACCTCTCTGTCCCCGTCATCCTACTGCACAGACGGGCTGGACCAGGAAGGTTAGAGACGGGAGCCACGGCAATCCCCACCTCTGCTAGCAGTACTCAGCCACTTCGGCTGGGCTCTCTTGGCCTTGTTTTCTCGGTTACACAATGGAGTTGAACTAAATGATCCTAGAAGCTCTCAGTTAGGATTCCCTAATTACTGTTATAATTTTTCTGCCTGTATCATCAGATGTTAAAACTGTAACTACACAAATGAAATTTCCAGGAAGACAAATTAATCTTGGCCTTAGACACATCATTAAGTCACTGACAAAGTATTTAAATTTCTTCATTGTTTACTTTATGTGCATTTGGTGTTTGCCTGCATGTACGTCTGTGTAAGGGTGTCGGATCCCCTGGAACTGAAGTTACAGACAACTGTGAGCAGCCACAACTGGGAACTGAAACTGGGGTGTTTTGGAATAGTAGACAGTGCTCTTAACCACTGAGCCATCCACAAAACCCACTGTCTATGACATCTCCAAGGTCTTTGCAAACCTTATGATTTAAGTGAACTCTCTTGTATTAGAAGTTAGATGAGAATAAACTTAATAGGGCATGGGGACAGATGCCAAGTTTGCTATAAAAGCTTATAATTCTAGCACAAGCATACATAGGTGCCAAAATAATCACTTAAATTAAACTGTAGGGAGCTTGGATTTAATTTTCTTTTTGGCAACCATGTTATACCATGCGGAAAACACCAATATGAATAAGCAGAAAAAGCAATTTACCATGTCCTGTTACAGCAAATGAAGCAAGCAAATGTGGGTAAGATAGGAAGGGCCAGGTGTGGTGGCACACAGCTTTAATCCCAGCACAGGGAGGAAGGGCCAGGTGGTTCTTAGGTTCAAGGCTAGCCTGCTCTACAGAGCAAGTTCCCAGACAGCTAATGCTGTATAGAGACCCTGTCTCACTGAAAGGGGTGTCAGATAATGGAAACTCATACACAGGAGGTGGCTGAGGCTGTTACATGTAATATCAGTAGTGCCCACTAACATGGAGCTTATAGCAACAGAACTCTATTGAGGATAAGCTCATTTAATTTTTACAGAAACAGAACAAGATAATTACTACTATTGCCATCTTGAAAAAGGCTAAGTAACTGTCCAATAGCATCTAGTAAGAATGCAGTAGAGCTGAGATTTGAACTCTATATTGTGACTCAAAACCCCATGCTCTTACCCATTCCACGGCTTCCAAGCTGCAACACAAAATCATTCTGCATGAGGTAAAGCAGGCTTTACAACAGGCCAAACACATTAACCTGTTTATTTGCAGTATTTGGGTATATTCTGGCAAGAAAGCTCAAATAGCACAGATGTGGAAGCGCTATCCATGCCTTCCTATTGAATTTTGTCTTCTGAGCTCTCCCACTCCCTTGGCTGCTCTGACAGTCGCCAGCCCTGCTTGTTACACCCCAAGGTCACACATGATGTTTACACCAAAAAGCAACTCTCACATCCAGAGTGCGCCTGTCCCTGGCTCTGTTCTTAGTCTTACTGAGCTCCCTCTTACTACAAGCACCCTGCTCTAAACAGTCTTCCTCAAGCCCCCACTCCCCCTCAAAGCTGTGTCACTGTCCTCACTCTGTGGCAACACACCTAACCAAGGACAGAAAGACTAGTGTGCCTCCAGGCTGAGAGCAGCCAATCCATCGCAGCAGGGAGGCGTGGCAGCTAAAGCTCGGAGCAGCTGGTCACTTGGTCACGTTGGATGCTCAGTTGGGAGGAAGAAGAGATGAATGCCGGTGCTCAGTTGTTCTGTTTAATCAGCTCAGTTCCCTACCCATTGCACAGTACTGCCCATATTTAGGTGGGTCGTCCCACCTTAATTAGCCTAAACTGGAACTCATCACAGACATGCCCAGGGTTTTTCACGGTAAGCCTAAATCCACTCAAGTTGACTCAGATTAATCTAGATTAACCATTACAAATATAAGCTTTCATATCTAGAGATTCAGATATAATACAGATCAAATAAAAAGTTGCACATACTGATCTGAAATCTGGTTTGACTATGGAACTGATAAATCTATGCCTCAGGATTTCATTTATAAAAACGTTAAAAAGTCTTCCTAATAGGTTGTTGTGTGCTTATACAACAAATGACTAACTTGCTGCCAAGCCTGATGACCCGTCAATTTACCTAGTACATTTCCTAGAACACAGAATACATTTAACATATTACCTTAGCTCACAATAAGAAACAATGATAATGTCTTCTGGAAGACAGGGCCAATGTCACCAGTTCTAACACTTCTCTGCCGTGTTCCTTTGTGAGTCTGGCTTCCAGTCTTGGCTTTCCGGGGTTACAAAGAGGGTTGCAAACTAAAGAGTAGCTATGCAAATACAAAGAGTCAACGCAATGGTTCTTACATCTGACTGAACACCATCAATTTGCAAACTATGAAACAAAGTATGCAAGCCATTTTCCAGATCCAGAAAGCCAGCGGTATCTCTTAGGTACTGGTAATAAACGCTCCACTCACCCTTGACTTTACGCTATCATATAAAACAATGGGTCACAAAAAGAACCACGCAGCAATGCTACACGAGAGAGAAAAGGAAGTGTGGTCTTTTCAGATACAGGAAGCAAAGTACCAAGGAATCTGAGGTGACAAAGAAAGGTGACCTGGTCCATAGTCTATCCATTCACCCTTTCTGATGTTTACAAACTATACTTTCCTCAACCCTGAATTAATGGGTTACCAGTTCAAGACAACCATAGCATGGCAGAAAATAACTCTCTGGTACTATCTCATTACCATGCTTGACTAACACTTTTTCTAGAGTTTAGCTTTCCGTTGTTGATGGACTTTTTGGGACAAGGTCTTCTGTGTAGCCTAGGCTTGCTGATTCACATTCTATAGCTGCTCAGATACTGGGATTAGAGGCACACATGTCCCTCTATGCCTGTCTTGAGTTCAGCCATCTTGATTCTAAAATAGTAATGAAATTAATAAAGACATTATTTAGTTTGATTTAAATGGACATAAGGATGACCAAAGAGAAAGTAAATGTATACCACGTTTCTGTACCGCATCAGCCTTTCACTTAGTAAATATAAATATGTCAAGGGACTCATTGAAATCTCAGTTAACAAAAGATACACGTACTGTTTACTTATTGGCTATGCTCATTTGGCCTCATGGGTAGAACAGTATCCGAGTTGGTCTAATTAGAGTATTTCTAAGGTTTCTTTTTTTCCTTTTTTTCTTTTGGTTACATCTTGGGCTATTCAACTGCACTGCTTGTTAAGCCTGTAACTATTTAGTTCTGGTGTCTGCCATGTAGATACAACCTGATGAAAACAAGAGGATGTCGCTACCACATTGAGTTGCTTGCAGGAGGGCACCAATATACGCGCTGCAGAGATGGAGAAGCTGGTGCCAGGATCTAGTCATTTATAAGGCCAATTCCATGAAGTCTTTATCATTACTTAATGTCCCTTCTAGGGGGAAAGGAAGGCTCATAGTCTTTCTGGTGGAAGGGATAACCTACATTAGAGTCAAGCGTCTTTTCTTCTTCTTTACCGCAGATCTACACAGCCATCCCCACCAAGAACTTTCTTCACAGCATTTGCGTAGGGGTGGGGCCCCTCTGGTGTAGCTGCGTCTCACGTGGAGACTGGGAGGGGCGAAGCATTTAGAACGTGCAGTCTTAGAAGTAAAGAGGACACCCAGGGGCTGCAGGGTAATAAACAGCTGTGTGGAAACCCTGGTGCACATCTTATTAGGAGGAGTTCAGGGATAGAAAAGGAACTGCACACGACTATGGCGTCAAGACACTCTTTAGTAGAGGAGGCTAGCAACAGCATGATCTCTCATAAGGCCAGTGGATACCTTACGGAGACAGTAAAAACCAACTAGGAGGGAACCCTAAGGAGACCCTGACGAGAGAACTGCAGACAGCTCTTCATGAAGAGGCGTGAAAGAAGGATGCGTGTTTCACTGACAGAATCCAGGCCCGGGTAAGTAAGCTCTATGCTCTTCAGAGACACTTTCTCAAGTGTCTCTAATAATTAAGTCCCACAGAAATGCTAAACAAACTCTAAAAGCAGAAACATTGCCTTTGGTCTTCAATTCTAATGCAGTAAGCCTGGGAAGAAATGAACTTACGTTTACTTAGAAACATCTCATGGAGCCCAGACTTGGTGAGCAGATCACACTCTCCATTTCTCTTCCAGCCTTCCCTGAGGAAGTGTGCTCTAACCTTCTTGAAGCGGTCTTTGTGTGGTCCTCATGCTTAGATGAAATGAGCTTAACAAAAGTGTTAACAGCTAAGTGGGAACTCCACTGACTCACTGCACCTTACTTACAACGGCCTATGTCTCAATAAACTCTTTTCTATTGAAAACACCCTAAAATGCACTTAATTATCTAGCCTACTGAGCATCCTAGCCTTGCCACGGCCTCGTGGGGTTCAGGTGTGCCTCCCTGTCCATGCTGCAGGTCACCGGCAGCTGTGGCACTACCATGGGACTACTATTACACCACCTATCCCAGCTTCGGAAAAGGTCAGATTCAAGGTCTGAAGCACATTTTTTACCGAATGCCTAAAGAAACACTGCGAGCCAGGGATTATCAGGGGATTCAGACTCAAAGACTCTTTCCTATGTTTTCCAGAAAAACAGGGTCCAGCAGGCAGGAGGGTATGCAGTCTCAGCGCTGGCGCACAAAGTACAGGAGGTTACCCGCTGTCTGTGGGGTCCAGCATAGAGCCCTCTGCTCTCCTAGTCCTAAGGCCACTGGTTGTCTGGGGTAGCAGTTGTAATAAATGACAGTAAATTGATTAAGAGATTAAGGTATTCTTTATATTTGTTCACAAAAGATCAGGTGTGGTGGTGCATGCCTGTAACATCAGCACTTGGGAAGCCAAGATAAGAGCCTGAGTTCATGACTTGCCTGAGCTATATAGTGAATTCAACCACAACCAACGGCCCCCCAAACCTCTCAAAACCCCAAAATCCCTCCACATACCTAAAAAGCAAATATATTATACCTCTATTACCGCTTAGAGGAAATTGTGGTTACTTTTTGCACATAGACAGATAACATAAGGAGCTTCAGATTGTATGTGCAGTGTTTTATGTGCATAATTTAATTTTTAAAATGATTTACATGGTATGTTTCTTAATTTCCCCTCTAAGTAGGAATATTCCAAAGACATCTTTCTATTTTAGCAGATGTATTTCTATAATGGCTTAATATGCAATATTTAATTCATAAATGCCCTACATCCTTTTCTGTATAAAAATCAAAGTGTATGAAGTGCTATAGCACTTACCTAACATGCAAAAAGCCCTGGGTTTGATTCCCAGCACAGTAAGAAAACAACACTAAGTAAAATCATGGCGTAGGTAGCCAATATCCCACTGAAGGACACAATGACTAGTATTTGAATGACTATTCAAGCAAGAGAGTCAGAGGAACTCCTAAGTCTCAATCTCAGTAACTGAGCAAATGATTCACACAAGGGAACCTTTTGAACACCATCCTGATGGTGCAAGCTAAGCTGCAGTGAGAGAAAGGACTTTTGAACTACAAGGAAAAGAATACAGATAACACGTTTGTAAAGCTTTCCACTGTCCAGCACAAATGACCGTGGTTTATGGCAGACCGGGATTGATGACATGAATCTAGTCATTCGTTTTACTTAAGAGAAAAATAAAAAGAAGTATCTGTCATAAGATCAATAAGTCCACAGTGAAAAACAGGTTTCCTCAAACACATTCAAGATGATAAAGAATTTCACAGAGTAAATCCCACAAATTCCTTCTTTTATTGACTTTCAAACATCAAAAAAATGCACTAGGCAATTTTTGTGTTTGAACTTGAAGGAAATATGGTAGTCTTTAAAATGAGGGGACAAGAAAGGCCATTCTAAAGGTGTCACAAAAACGTGGACACAAAAGTTCAATATGGTATTTAACAAAAAAACTGAAAACAAAACAAAACAACAACAAAAACAAAAAACCCAAACCTGAGAAATGTGCCTATAACGTAGGCTATGAACACTTAATATTTTAAATTTTTTTTGTTTTCTTTTTGAGACTGGGTTTCTCTGTGTAGCCCTTAGCTGTCCGAAAAGCCACTCTGTAGACCAGGCTGGCCTTGAACTCTGCCTCTGCCTCCTGAGTGCTGGGGCTAAAGGTTGGGCCAGCACTTGTTTTTAGTGTACTAGGAATTGTTACTGACTAGAGAAAGAACAACTACCTCAAGAATATATGAGGAGGAGGCGTGGAAAACAATTCACAAAACAAACAAAACATGTGCAAGAAACAGGAAAGCTACTGAATATCATAAGAGAGGCTGGAGACTGCTATGGCTCACCTTCCTGAGGCTCATCCTACAGACCTTCAGGAGCAATCCACATCAAGTATCAAAACATAAGGACACATACCCTAGAAGTTAATCTTACTTTAGGTAACTTACCCTAAGAAGGTATATGTACAACTTAAAGTAAAGTAGTGCACAGTCAATTGTACTGAGATTTTCTGAACTGTCGTATCTATGTATTTTGGTATTGAAAACTATCAGAGTGCAGGTTTTAAAAAGGAGTTATGGTATGAATGCATTCATATCAGAATTTTTTCACAAAGCTACTTAAATGGATGACACCAAAACATTGCCTGTGAGTTTGGTGACTTTTATATATTTGATGGCACTTTTCTGGGTTTTGGAACCATGAATGTGCCCCTTTTATGAAAATAGCAAGCTTTTCATTATGGGGATGATTCTACTGCTACAGACACACCTGTTTCCTTCCTAAGACGCCGGGTTTTATCTGTGTCTAGCGTGGCTGTCAAGGCCAGCTACTCCTTATGTTTGCTGTGACTGTTCCTATGGCTCCCTGGCGGCTCCCAGCCGGTCCCTAGTACTTCGTTCCTAGAGGGAGCCCCTAGATGTTAGTCTTTGTTGTACTAATGAGGTGACTCAGATAACTCCAACGATCTTGATTAGTTCTCTGTCAATTAGACACAAGCTAAAGGTAAGAGAAGAGGGAGCCTCGGCTGAGAAAATGCCCTCACCAAACTGGCTTATGGACAAGCCTGTGGGGCACTTTAAGAAAAGGACTGTCGTGTGGAGAGTCCCGTTCCCTGTGGCAGCACCACTCCCGGGCAGCTGCATGCTGCAGGAAATCAGGCTGAGCAAAGCATGGAAAACAAGCCGGGAGACAAGGCAAGGGAGCAGCGCTCCTCCCCGGCCTCTGCATCAGTTCCTGCCTCCAGGTTCCTGCTCGAGCTTCCACCCCGACCTCCTCAACAACAGACTGTGACTAGAAGTGTGAGCTGGAATGAACCTTTCCTCCACAAGATGCTTTTGGTCACTGTTTCATCCCAGCAACAGAAACCTTAACACCAACCCCTAGGGAGACTGAGCCCAGCCATGAATAATGATTTAATCAGCATGCCTCTGTAATGAAAACCCAGTCTGAGCACCGAAAGTGAGCAGAATTTTATGGCTGAACACGCTGACATTTAAGGACAAAGAAGTGATTTAACACTATTGGGAGAGGTATCAACCCTTCCAGGTGTCTTCTAGGCTTTATCCTAAGTGTATCTTTTCTGTTCAAGGTATGGAACTTGGGAATTCTGGGAGTTATTTTAGTGAATTCTTAAACTTGAAGGGATCAGGAGGCAAAATGCAGGTGGCCTAGGGACCCCGAGTCGTGTGGCACAGCCTGAAGTGAAGGCAGCCGCGTGGAAGTCTGTGCCCTAACTCTACTCACCCCAGGAACATAAGTGTCAGACTGTACTGTGGTACTTTCCAGCTTGTCTCTGACCAGCTGGGAGGAAATGGAGCAGCGGTCGCCCTCGGCTAATGACACCACTACTTTCCTACTTTCTACACTGGATGCTTTCACATCAAGTAGACACTATCACTATGAGGGGCCAGTAGTTTTGCCAACAGTGTCTGCGATGTCACATCGTCCGTGGGTATCCAAACACCTCCTGGTTTGTGCCACTCACGCAGCTGCCCTAGGCCAGGTTCCCACGTCACCGTGTGTCAGAGCATCAGCCACCACTTGCCACATTTGCCTGTGCCTTTCTTTCATATCCTGGGCTGAGACTGCCCAAAAAGAGGCCGACATCTTATTTACCTTGTATTCTCAGTGCCCATAGCACGGCAGATGGGCCGTTTGTTCAGGAGGTGCATGAGGAGCTCAGTGCATAGCACTGCCCATAAACAGCACCCCAGTGAGCAAAGCGCTTACTAGAGTAGGCACTTTGGTTTGAAGTGTCAGAGTTGGTTTTGCAGTTTTCTTTCCCATGACCTTTGTACATTCAGCTAAACAATGTGGGATCTGGTTGACCGCAGAGATAAGCAACCTCTCTGCATGGAAATAGTAAGTGAAGCTAAGAATTCCTTCAAAACAGCAAGAAAAAAAAGAGGATGGTGCCAAATGTTCTTTTTAATCCTTCGACTTTCATAGTTTCCTATGATATGACACTAGATTGCCCTTTAGAGACCAACCAACTCCTCCCCCAGTGAGCAAGCCACCATCTTTCTCCATAGTGACGGACTTACCTTTTAATCGAGCATCACCCCCGAAGGCACCGCAGCCCCAGTTTCCTGTGGCCACTGCAGAAAGGTTCTCTGGAGGAACTCCAGGACGGAGGAATCCACAGTAAGCCTGCAGATAAAGCAGACACCACAGGACATGAGTGAGCAGACACCAGCAGTGCCCACTGACGCAAGGTCTGAGAGCACATCTACTGTCAAGTTTTTGTTCTCATTCCCTTCTTTCCTAGGGCCAAAACAGAAGGGGAAAACAACGGAAAGGAGAAAGATGTGGAAAACAGTAAAAATGAAAAATTCTAGCATGTGTTTGGATATAACTGCTTTGATTTGGGGCAAATCAAATCCCTCAAACCGGTATCAGTCTTAATTGCTCGACCCAACTGAAATGAATAGAAATGGGACTACTAGATAGATTTCAAGATGGCCGGAATGAGGACTCCCAACAGAGCACTTGCTCCAAGCCTTGTAGGCGTCTATCATCTATCAGTGTCTCCTGCTCCCGTGGAGTTCGGGCTACTTCAGCGCTCCCTCCTGTCTATATTCACCAAATGAGACACTGGCGCTGGACTAAGGGTCACAGCTTTAAGAGGGAGTCCTCCATTCTGTGACAAAATCCTAGTGCAGACTGTCATTGCCCCCACCCTGCTCCCGAGAGAAGAAAACAAAATTGCCTTAAGCTCTCTCTTGGTCCTACTCTCCAGTTTCACATCTCTGTTCTAAATTAGACTATCTAAAAATTTGCCAGTAACCCCCGCAAAGTGCCGTATATCTTAAGGATGTTGGATAAGCAGTAACTAAATGAAAATCTCATTTTGGTCTTGAAATTTCTGATTTTTATTTCTTTGCTATCAGCCACGTCAGTCTTCCTTTTAAGGGGTCTTAGCTTTGTGCAACTATCAGATGAATTAAAGGGGCTTAATGTACAGCAGAGCAAGTGTCCCCTAGGTTCACTCAGGTATCAACCAAAGACAAAAATATGGTCCATAGGCAATACTAAACCAAACTAAAAGAATGATCTGTGACAAATGTCCCTGGAGACAAAGCAAAGATAAAGATGCTTCTGTGAAGCCCACACGAAGAAATATAGTAAATTGCTCTCTGAAGTCTCCACAAAGGTATAAAAATGTATTTTACACACTGTCTAGATGGATTAACAAGGCTATTTCTTCCGCCCCTCCTAGGCTGTAAATCCTGATGGATACTAACTATAAGTTGTTGCTAAACCGAGGCATAGAGCTTATATAAGAACTCACAAATTACCTGCATAATCCTATGGCCTGAGCTTCTGAAATCCCTTTCAGGTCAACAATATGAGGGAGCCCCATTTGTTTTTTTGGCAGGTTCTTCAAAGATGAAGAATCTGACATTCATATTATGAGATGAGGGAGAACGACCCTCTGTCAGAATAAACCTAACTCTGCCACTGTTTCCTATCACTGCTTCCCAACATGCCTAAACAAAGATGAGCCTCCGTCTCCCAAGTTTATGTTTCTGCTAACATTATTAGAATGGTCTCAGTCTCCTCCCCACCACTGCAATCACCCTGGCAGAAGAGACGACACTCTAAAGACAGACACTTGTGCTGGAGGAAGGGTAAGCTCTGCTATAACTAGAGGAGGAACTTATCTCCCAGAAGGGAATTTCACACACTTGTAATAACTTACAGGACAGCTCTGCAGGACAGGTGAGTAATGACAATAATGGGTCACAGATGAGTGGGACCAGGGTTACTTACTTATGTACTCCCCTGCCCTCTATTTAAAGCTAAACCTCATGCCAAGACTCTTTCTTATTCATCCCCTCCCCAACACGGAGACACTGAACACATCTCTTTTTTGTTGCTATTCCATAACTAATTTTGTTACTGTTATGAATTGTAATGTAAATATTTGTTCTCCAATGGTCTTATAAACCCAGGGGCTGCAACCTACAGGTTGATGACTACTGCCTTAGAAACTCTAAAATTGTCTCTAAATAACTGGGGGTGAAGTCATTCAATGGGCAAAAATAGCTTAGTTCAGTGATAATCAGGCTTAACAATGGTAACTTTAAAACATTTAAATATTAGCAGTAACATTTAATATGAGGTATCATATTCTCTTGAGAAGTGATCTTGAAAATATGGCCACAACAAAAACTCTAAAACTGAAATTAAAATGTACTTAATGATTTTATCAAATACTATCAGATAAAACTTCTAAAAATAATTATATAAAAATTCAATGGTTTAAACTCACATAGCAGTATATACAAAGGACTGGGTAGAATGATTAAATGAAAATGCTTTCATTCTGCTAAAGTCAAGCATTTGTAAGCTCAGACTGTATAATAGTCTTTAGGGGAGTGCTTCAGGATACCACCTTTTGAGGATACCAAAGTCCACTTGTGTTTAAGACAGCACACTTACATAGCCTACACACCACTCCGATATTCTTTAAAGAGTGTAAATCATGTGTAGCTTTGTAAACAGTTGCTACAATGTATGAATTAGCAAGCAATAACATGAAAAACCCTATACATGTTCAGAATGGATGAAGCACAACATTTTCAATGTGCATTTCATTGAGTCTGAGCGCAGAACTTTTTCAAAGAGATGGAGGGCAAGCTGAAGTAAGATGCCTGACCCCCTTAGAAAGCCCGCCCAGGGGTGCCCATTCTTTAGGAGGTTAGCAGATCCCGTAAGTGTCGAGACTCTTTCTCCCTTCACAGCAGAAACTGAACTTCATACTGATGAGAGAGAAGGAAAAAAAAGAGAGACCAAAAAAGGAAGCAATCCCAGAATTTGCCACGTCCTCACTCTGGAAAGTTGTGAGGAGCTCTCCATACGGCCGTGTTGGTGAGTACTTCCCTTTTCAAGTAAACCATATTGTCTGAGGAGACTGGCAGAGAGGGAAACCAAGTTGAACTGGGCCACGCACTGACCTTTGGCCTCTCGATGTGCTACAACACAGCAATCATCCATCCTGATAACAATAACGAGAAGAAACCAATGACCGCCTATGTGCCAGAATGAGATCTGATGCAGAAGGAAGGAAGAGAGGGGAAGAGAAGGCAGTCTGGATTTCTGAAGGCTGCAAAAAGGGGTGCTGAAAACAAAACAACAAAGAAAAATCCTGGCATCTAGAATTATAAACTAGAGACTGACCAGGAAATAGTGAAGATAAGAGATGTGAGCAGGAAACAAATGGGGAAAAGAAACGAAAGAAAGCAGGTGGTTTCCAGGACAGAGCTGGCCATGGAGTAATCTGGTATAGACATGGCATACAGACAACACGAGCACTCTGACGTAAAGGTCATTGTGACACACTCAAGTAGATACATTTCAGTGATGCTCACTATCATGTAAACCTGTACTTTCCCCTAGGTTAATAATTCTTGTTCCTAGAGAATTAATAGAGAATAAAGTTCTATTATTAAAGAGCCTTAAAACCATCCTATGCTCAGTCATAATACATTCTGTAAACCCCTAAACGTCCAGTGTATAAGGACACTGATTGTATCTTATATATCACAGAGCAGACTGGGGAAATCAGTAAACTACTTACAATCAGGACAATAGTTAAACCAGAGGTCAACAACCCGAACAATTATAAACATTTGCCATGATGATAAGAAAACATGAGATTCCAATAAGTCACATGAAATAGATAATAATATGAGATTATAGGTAATTTTTGGGTATATGACTACATTTTATGTGGAAGGACCTATAAAAACAACTATTTGAAAGGGAGCACACCATGGATGGCCTTTTGTTTTTGAAATACCTATATATTACCACACAGCTTATCCTATTTCTTATTTATTTGTCAACGTGTACATTCCAGTGAGCATCAAGTATGCCCGTGGAGTTCAGAGGACAACTGGAGAAAATCAGCTCTTTCTACCATGTGGATTCTAGGGCCAACTTGGGCCATCGCGACTGGTGGCCAGTGTTTCTACCTCTTGAGACATCTTACCAGCCCAGTTACTGGTATTTTTAAATGAATATAAAATGAAAGAAGTAAACTGAGTTCAGTTTTCTTATTTGTAAAATAAAAAAAATGGATTAGATATGTTCATGGTTTTCCGGTTCTAAGAACTAAGAAAGCTAAAGGAAAACTTCCTAGATAAGATACATTTAAAACTAAGACCCCAAAAGAACGTGACACACATTGAGACTACAATGATCAGATACTGAATTTCTTAGGAATATCAGTAGAAAGCGCTGACTGGTTTGTTATTAAGCTTTGATTTAGTATAACCCCACTCCAAATATGGACCCCAAATCAATAAAATAGGAAAGAGCTGCAATCAACTCCATTCAGCTTCTATCCCAGAAGGCTCCAGGATACGTATTCATAATGTAATCTCACCTAAACAAGTCTAAGAGGACAAACAACACTTCACTGGCATCTCATTCTTCCGTTGCGGAGACACCTGACACTTTTACAAGCCAGAGTCACAAATCTCCCCAACGCCAGTGTCTAAAATGCCAACCAGCTGATCTCGCCCAGAATTAAACATAGCTTCCCAGCACTGGCTGGACAAAGTAAGACTGATTGCTGATTCAGAGCCCAGCTCTTCTTTCATGTCTGATGCAGCTCTAATGGGACAGGTGAGGCCACATGGAGTGACCTCCTCTAGAAGATTGTGCATGACGGTCGCTGGTTTTCGACGCTTCATCTAGAAAAATGCAGTACTGTCCCACCTCACCTTCCATAACGGATGCAAAAAATGTATGCAAATTTTCACTAACATGATCTAACATGTTTGTTCTAAACATTACACTTATAGAACACAATGAAATATAATACATTATTTCCTCCAATTTGTACTCCCCTTTTATGTGATTCTTGATGCTTGTGCCAAAATTCATAAATCTGTTTAATAGGTAAGTGTGATTAACAAGGTATAGAATTTAATATAGGAAGCCCATAGTTTGTTTATGATTGTGTGTGTGAGAGAGAGAGACTCTGTGTGTGGAGGTCTGAGGTGTTGCTAGGTGAATTCCTCTATTGCTACATCTTACTTTTGAGACAGGGTGTCTCACTGACTGCAGAGCCTTCTGTTTTAGCTGGAATGGCTAGTCAGTGACACCCAGACTGCACTTGTCTGTGCCTCCCCACCACGAGGGTTACAGGCACATGTCAGTTTTTATACAGGTTTTATGTAGGTAGATCTAAGCTCAGGCCTCACGATGCAAGCACTCTGCCCACAGAGTCGCCTCCCTGGAGTATTAGTTTTTCAGATTAAGATTGCTGGTGAGGCAGCTCAGTGGGTCAATCCCCGGGATCTATGTCGTGGGAGGAGAGCACTGGTTCTTGCAAGCTGTCCTACAACCCTGCAAGTATACTGTGGCACACATGTCCTGTACAAAATAAATGAATAAAAATGTAAGAAAATGTTTTTTTAATAAGATGACATTCAACAAAATTATTTGTTTTTTTCTTTTTCAGCAAGAGTTAGAAAATAACTGCTTGCTGAAATAACACATTTTGTGAATATAGCAATAAATGAAAGAGTATGCATCTAACTCAGGTATGGTGACACAAGCCTGTAATCCCAGTACTTAAAAGGCAAAGGCAGAAGAATTATGAGTTCAAGGCCAGTCTGAGGTATAATAAAACCCCATCTCAAAAGGGAAAAAATTAAAAAAAAAAAGGGAACACACATTTATCAATTGGCTTCCCAAATGACAGGCCCTGAACCAGGTGCTTTCTCAATATTAGTTTACATGTCTACCAGCTGTATTAAATCTGCAGTATTTTTCTTGTCCTGTGGGCATAATAAATATGTTGGGCGACAACCTTAGATTTTCTTTAAAAATAAACAGACAGAAAGGAACACTGGGAAGATTCCCTGAGTACATTGACACATCAAAGTTTCTGAGAACAAGAAAGGGTGACTGTGGTGCATACTTGAAGGACAGCAAGATAGGAAAGATTCTAAGTCATTAGGATGAAGAAAGGGGACCAGTCCAGAGGGTCAGACCTAGTAATTATTATTTTTTTTTTTGGGGGGGAAAGATCTACATTTTAGAAAATGTGACCTGAGAGCTTGAGGTCCAGGTCAGTGATAGGATACTTGCCTAGCACACACAAGGCCCTGTGCTCTCCCTGTCACCAAGAGACAAAGAAAAAGAAAGGAAGTAGGAGAGGCTAACGAGGAGAGGGGAAGAGAGAAAAAAGAAAAAAAAAAAACCACATAAGTAAGCAGAAGTCAAGGAACATGGATTTAAACCCTGTCTTGGTCACTGGAGCAAGTTACTCATGTCCCAGGCCTCTGTCCACCTCTAACTAGAGGTGAGAACAGCATCGCCTGTCTTTTTGAGTGGTTAGGATTAAAGCGGGCCATTAAGTTTTCTATGTGCAGTAAGATGGAAGGACACTTGAGCCTGGGTGTTCAAGAGCAGCCTGTGTGGCATAGCATGTCTCAACAGGAAAAACTCTGACTGCATTTAGAGTGCTAACTGGAATGGCTAGTATACAATAAGTAATCATTTCATTACCTTTACTACTGCTAGTTACATCAACTGAAAAACAATTCTACTTGCAGATGACAGAAAAGAATCTTTTGTTGAGTCAAAAGTAAGACTTAACTGCATATTGACATAAATACTGACGGGGAGCAAACACAGGACTGGGTCACCGTATTTACCAACGACAGACAGCACATTTGTTTCCTCCATTGTCTTCTCTGCTCTACCTGGTGCTAGGCTAACTAGGCTTTATTCAGTATGTGAAATTTCCAGAAAGTGCTTAATTTGTAATGTTCTGAGATAGTGCATTTACACAACTTTAAAATATTTAATTTATGCTTAATCATTACCAAGTCATGTGAAAAATTCTTTCTGAGATACGTTCACAAGGCAGAGTGTGCCAGCTGTGACTGACCTGAATGAAATAAAATTCTCTGTTTGTTGTTAGGTTATTTCAAGATTCACTATTAGTATATAAAGTATACAAGTACTCTATATTCTATAGAAGCAATTCTCAACCTCTTGGTCACAACTCAGTTGGGGATACTACATATTAGATATCCTACATATCAGATTTTACATTATGATTCCTATCAGTAGGAAAATTATAGTTATGAACTAGCAACAAAATAATTTTATGGTTGGGGGAGGGGTCATCACAACATGAGGAACTGTATTAAAGGGTTGCACCATTAGGAAGATTGAGACCCACTATTCTATAGATAAACATTTTCAGTGTTGGGGATATATATCACCAGCCTACTCATCTATATATACTAACATACACACATATACTTCATAACTGTAACATTTCTGATGTCTTTGAGGACAATACACTGAAGGTTAGTGATATGCATACATGTAGAGAGCATCTGTCAACCATAGGAATTTTAGGGATTTGTTTATGACCAAGGATGGCATAAAAACATCATAACTGTGGGTTAATTAAAAAAAAGATATTTATCCCTCCACGCGCGAGTGTGTGTGTGTGTGTGTGTGTGTGTGTGTGTGTGTGTGTGTGTGTCCATGAGTGCGATGTTGTGCACGTGGAGGGTGGAAGACAATTTATAGGAGGTGGTTTTCTCTTTCCACCATGTGAGTCCCGGGGATCAAGCTCAGGTGATCAGGCTTGGTGGAAAACCCTGGTGGCCCCAAAAATTTCTTTAAAAGTCAATGTTCCAGTCTCCCACAGGAGAGTGTATATGAGAATATAAACTTCAGTCTCAAAAATGGGAATTTTTCAACTTATGTTAATATGCTACATAAAAACTATGACCAAGCACATTTTATTTAACCTTTCTTTTACATATTTCATCCAAAATACTTATCTAAACATCCTTCAGTTCCAACAGCCATGTAACAAATTCCATAAGACGCACTATGTAAGGAACACTGGATGGAAGTCTGATGATAAATCTTACTTGTTTGATATACTCTGTCATAAAACATCTTGGACATGAAGGCAATTGCTTCAAGGTGAAAATTTAGGACCGCAAGAACAAGTTATATTTATCTGATTTTGTTTCTTTTTGTTTGGTTTGGTTTTTATTTTGGAGTTCTAGGGATATAATCCAGAGCCTCACATATGCTAGGCAAGTGCACATTAATTAATTAATTAACCAAATCCTACATGGGCAGGAAAAAACAGTGGTTTGCAGAACAGTTAATTTTCCTGGCTATGAAAGAAACCTGAGGAAGTAAAGAACATCTTAGCTGCTTTGCTTAGGCTCCTAATGCACAGAACAGAATCAGTACTCTATTTCAGGAGGGAATACATTCATTATAGCACACAGTAGGGAGGATTTGAACAAACAAGAGGTATAGCTCACTTTTCAGTTCTAAGATAACAAAAGACAATGATTAGGTAGAACTAGGCATCAGGCTATCACAGTTTCCATCATAAATAAATATGTCAGATAACTAAACCAATAAGTAACATGTTCACTGTTCAAGATTGAAACATAGCTTGGGGGGTTTAAAATATGTAGTAACCCTGATATCTGTACGCCTTAGAGTACGATGTTGTGCATGTGGAGGGTGGAGGACAAGTTGTAAGAGTTGGTCATGTGACAGATCCAAAAGAAAGCAAACAACAAAAAACCCCCAAACATGCCCACAGTTCATTCCTGTCTATAGCTTAAAATGGTAATGTTCTGAAGCCACTGAAGTACCTGAGGAGATAAGCACATGTGCAGGGTTTACCACCGAGCCACAGTCTATCTGGCAACGCTGGCCAGTGATCAAACAATTACAGAGTGGAAAGTACATCTTGTACAAGCTGACAGAACCACTAAATCAGAAGAGCCACCAGCAGATGTACTGACACTGCAAGAATTACCAGAAAGCATTAATTTCAGCATTAATAAAATGGCAGTAAATAGATGACAGCTGCCGGATGAACTCAGAAATAAGGTCACTGGCCTTGTTAAGCTCACGTCTCATTTTCTCAGGCACAAACTGATCGAGGTAGCGTCTGAAGTGAAGTGCATCGATGGCAACGATCTCCGTGCAGCGTCGCTGCCAATCATCCCTGCGATGGACAGAAAGGGAAAAAAGATAAGGAACAGGTAGAATCCTTCAAGTAAGACCCTTGCAGGAGTCACACTGTCAACATTTTGGTAGTGTTATAATATTAAAAACAAACACACTGTAACCACAGGTCCCAGCAAAGCAGAAGGGCAGGAAACCATTACAGTGTTGGATTCAGAGGTATGCATATTGCAGACTGTTGAGTAGTGAAATGAAAAATCAAGAGACAACATGAGATGACACATTGTAAACAAGAACATCATTTACAGGGAGCCTCAGAGGTTAAGGGATTTGGGAGTAAACAAAAGGAATATTGGTCTTTGTTTTCCTCTAATACCATAGATACGGTATTTACTTTGCTTTTGTTTTTAGAAATCTGTACTAAGTCACTGGCATAAATCATTACCCCATACTATACAGGAAATAGTCCTGAGAAGGCAAGTGTTATAAAAAAATATGTACCATTCAGTCCAACCTTATACCGATTGTGCAACTGTCAGCTACTTTAAAGTGATCCAGACTAGAAAAGCATACAAGATACACTGACTACAGAAATGAAGGACTACCTGGCGTGATGAGTTTTGAAACCTAAAATATTTCAAACAGATCATCTGTTTGCAGTACTGGTAGCCGAGTAAGTTTTTATACTGAAGACAGAAAGCCTCAAAGCTGGTCTGTGGGTAATTATGGGGATCCACAGATAACTTTCATTGCAGGCATATGTGCTATAGTTAGCTTCAGTTGTCAACTCGACATACCTGGGGACAGCGAACTCCCTCCACTGGATTGGTTGGTGGGCATGTCTAATTGATAGTCAATGACCCAGTCCACCATAGGTAGTGGCATTCCTGGGCAGGTGGTCCTGAGTTGTATAAGGAAGGTAGTGGAGTAAGCCAGTGAGCAGGACTGCTCCATGGTCTTTTAGCTAGTTTAGCTCCTGCCTCTAGGTTCCTGCCTCAAATTCTAGCCTTTGCTTCCCTTGGACTATAAACTGTAAGCCAACTAAATAAACCCTCCCTTCCCCAAGTTGGTTTGTTTTAACCACACCAAGAGAACCCAAACAAGAACAACATATTTTATGAAATAAAAAGAAATCACAGCCTAGACTTGACATTACAAATATTTCGACTGTGACATAGATACAGCTGCCTCCTTTGGCCATAATGCTTTTGTCATTAAAAGTGAACACAAAGTGATCTTCCTCCCCACCTGGCATAGTAAGTTTTCTATATCACTTAGTGAGTAAGCCAGGGTGCTAACATATAAAGTCTATTTCAAGAAGGGGACAGCAGCAGCAATACTCACTGCTGGCTCTGTTCTCAACTACTATGTGGCATCAGGCAAATGGTCCCAACATACATTATTCCCACATGTATCTGATAACATGGAATACTTAAGGATGGCTAAGTAAACTAGCCAAAGGCTCTAAACTCTAATTAGAAATCATTCTAAGTCTGGACTTGGAAGTTAACCTCTATAGCACAGAGACAAAGAGCTGCAGAACGTTTTTTGTCTCAAACTTGAATTTTTATTCTTCTCTTTGGTGTGTGGGACATGACAATAGTATTTTGTCTACCAAAAACATCTGTGAGACTGAATTTAAAAATAATTTAAATGTAGTTACTACATAATGGGAGAGACATTGCCTCACCTGGATATCTTATGCCACCAAATAAAACCTCCAGTGCCAGATATGGGTTAGAGGTTGTTGAGTTGTTGGCCAGAGGGGTCCCATAGATTCCCCCAAAACACTGCAGGTTATTGCTAAGGCTCTATGTTGTTCTCCACAATCTGATGATGAGGCCCCATTGCTGAAGACAACACTTCCTTATGTCATTGAACATGGAGAAATCTGGCTGGGGCCCAACCAGAAGCTTCACCCCTACTGACTAGCGCTCGTAACACTGCCACAGGAGAAAAGTAATCATCAGTGTCGCCCAGCTACAAACCCTGTGGCCTACAACAGCAACCGGCCTGCAAGATACACATTGGTACACGTTATGGGAGCAACCGACCACTTCCTAATTGGACTGGAGGCCCACTCCACGAGATGTAATCTGTACTTGACACTGCTAACATGGCCAAGAACCCGAGACTAGGTATATCCCAGGTTTAGCTGAAAGCCTACTATTACTATTCTGCTCCTTTAGCAGAATAGTAAAATCATTCCTAATGACATACTACAGTACCCTAGATCAGCGCTTTGCTCAACCCTCACAGAGAAGCCGTTTCTTTCAGTGTATGGCAATTAACATAGAGAGCCCCCGCTGGACAAAGACAGCCTGCCGTGAGTAAGACACTTGGGGTCTTCATCAAACCCCTCTCTCAACTCTCAGGGATCTACATGGAAAAGGAGATGAAAAAATTGTAAGACCCAGAGGTGATAAATGACTCTAAGGAAACAGTATTTTCCAGACACAAAAGGACTGATACACATTAACTCAAAGAGACCGTCACAACATGTATGTGATCACCACAACGTCAAACCAGGCTAAAATCCCAGTGAGAAGGGAGGCGGACACTAAGTCCTGATCCTGATCAAGAAACTCTTCCCAACTGATGCCTTCTGGGAAAGGAAAATCGTCTTAGTGGAGTGCGACTGGGTCTGTCAGCCACACTGCCAAACAGAAATGGACTTCATGGGTTTTTGTTGGTTTTGTGGGCTTTATGGAGGGAGAGAGAGGGAAGAAGGGGGGAAGGGAGAGGGAGGGAGGGAAAGAGGAAGGGAGGGGGAGAGCACCCAAATATGAAGTTGTGTAGGTCGGAGAAATGATCAAAATGTATTGTATAAAAAATTACTGCAAGTGAAAAAAATAATGAATTTCTGGAAGGGGCAGAGAGCCAGAGTCAGGCACACACTCCTGCAGTTTCACCACACAATACTAAAATCGAAAACACTCACTTTTCACTCCCATCTTCATGGCTCCGGGCCCAACGGTAAGTTTCAGCATAGCCTGTGTATTCACTGTACTGTTCAGTACCTGAAACAAACAGTCTGTCAGCATCACTCACTCCAGACTCAGTGGTGGAAGCATTGTCCCCAAGGTGCTCAATAAGGTCAAAGTACCATTTTTCTCCCTTTTTCTTTTTGGTGTTTTGAGACAGGGTCTCTCTACATAGTCCTTGCTGCCCTGGGACTCTGTACACAGACCAGGCTGGAGAGTATTATTTTTATTATTTCTATTCAGCACTGCACCTGAAGGGTAAGGTAAGTCCATTCATCCCCACCCCCACCCTGTCCCTGCTGCCACCAGTGCAATAACACAAGAAAAGAAACAAAAGACAAAAGGATGAGAAAATATAGGCAGGGCTGGGGAAGCAGCTCCAGGCCCTGGGCTTGACCCCAACACAAAATAACGTAAGATAAAATACAATGTAAAACTGACTTGCAAATGTCATTATTGTTTATACAGCAAATCCCAAGTTGCTGAGCGTGGGGAGAGGGTAAGAAAAACTCATAACTAAGAGTTAAATCAAAGATGTCACTCTATTTATATACTAGCAGCAAACAATGAGAAAACAAAACACCAAACATCCATTAAACGCAGTGGCAAAAAAACATAAATTACCCCTGAGCAAACTTAGTAATAGATGAATAAGACTAAAAGAGAGAGAGAGAGAGAGAGAGAGAGAGAGAGAGAGAGAGAGAGAGAGAGAGAGAGAGAGAGAGAAAGGACCCAAACAGACAGAGAAATAGAGCATTCCTTTCAAGTAGAAAATTCAATATCATCACAAGGTTAGTTCTTGATTTATATATATATATATTCATATCAATGCTAGCAATCCCAATTCTAAACAGCATTCTCTCCCCCCACAGCCCCACACCCTGTTCCTAACCTAGGGCACTGCTATATTGCTCAAACTGAACTTAAACTCCTGGGGTCAAGAGATCCTTACACATAAGCCTCTTAAGTAGCTGGGGCTTCAGGCAAAGCAGTACATGTTTAAAAAACAGTAATTCCACTGGGTGTGGTTGTGACATGACTTGATGGCCAGCGAAGAAGAAAAGGAAGAACAACAAAGTAAAACAAACCAACAACAAAACCTGGAGCGCTCAACCATCTTAACTCAACAGTTACTGGATTTGGGCCTAAAACAGACAGGGGAAGACCTAAGAAACAAAATAGAGGCCAAAGGGAGCTATAAAAAGGTACCCAGGAAATGATAGTTTACCCAAATGCTATTGGAACACATAGATATTTCTAGAAAAATACGACCTAGACTGCTACCCCATGTTATGAATAAACATTTTGAGACAGAGGATAGACATAAACATAAAACCATCAGATTTCCCGAGGGAAACAGGAGAGTCCTAATCTCAGCGCTTGGAAGGTGGAGGCTGGAACATCAGGAATTCAAACTGGGAACACGAGAATCACATCTCAAAGACCAAACTCAAAGCAAAAACAAGCTTACACATATGCATGTAAAAGACATTTACATTTATGAAAAACTATGAAAAATATATCATTTATAATTTCCCCTAATAAATGTTAAATACTACAATTTCCAATTCATTGTTTAGCACACCACCACTTAAAATAATTTTAATCTTAATCCCCATAAATTCACTTGGATTTTTTTTTAATGCTACAAGCAAGAAAACAACTCTAATGTCCTTGCTATCTCTTGTGCAGGACCTTCCTAGACTGTAAGTCAGCTGGAAGTTCTTGTCTGGGCAGCACCCACAGGGCATGTATAGCAGGGAAAGAAAGCACAGTGTCAAAAGTTATGACAGTAAGTTCAGGAATATCCTCCAGGGACTACAGAACAGACTCTTAGACGCTCACGTTAGCAGCATGCACAGCAGCTTGGGAGGCAGAGGCAGGGACACTTTTGGGGCTTTGAGAGCAGCCTGTATGATACCATGGGACTATGTCTCAAAAGAGAACCACATCTTCAAAGATAGCATGCTGCGGTGAAAACCACCACACCGACATTAGGAAACGTGGGACCCCATGTGACCTTGGCGAACCAACATCACCTGAAACCAAAGGCTATTAATAGTGATTATTGCTTTACCTCATGGGATCATTTAGAAAACCAAGTGAGTCAAATTAAAACGCCTTCAAAACCATGTCAATGAACTCAACTTTGCAAAGCAGCAGGAGGAAACAAAACCCACTTTTTTTGTCTAGGCATTAACACTGTTCTAGTCTATTGCCAAAAGGGAACTGAGAGCCAGCCAGGAAAACACTTGTTTACGTTTTCTGACTAGCAGAAAAAAAACAAAAAAACAAAATACAAACAAACAAAAAACAAGGCAACAAACCCTGACTACTTTGCTCTCTTAATTGTGCAAATACCTGTTTTGTCTTTTTAAAATCAAAATGGTTGAAGAGTATAAATGAACAATTGCTATGTTTTTACTCCAAGTTTTCTTTTCACAGAGGTTTGGGCAGGTATATCTCCTTTGCACTTCGGAAATAAATGCTTCCTTCCACTCTAAGCAAATTAAACTTTGGGTTTTCTAAGCAGCCAAGTGTTATATCACTGTCATTTGAAAAATGAATGCTTTTAACATATTTCACATTTATTAATGAGCAGTGATGGAAATGTAAAAGTGAACAGTGGAAACAGTCTGAAGCAGGCTTCGAAGTTACTTAGTGAGATGGTCTGCAACAATTCACTAAAGGACAATCATGGCAGCATTATCAGCTTTACACATAGTAAGAAGTAGATCTAGTTTCTCTTACTACTAATAAAAGTTCATAACAAACTGGGGAGAATACTAGGAAATTAACAAACTTTACTTGTCTGTGGGTTGGGGCCTGGCATAGGCAGTTCACCTACTCCAATTATCATCATTCATGCAATGGCAATTATGGAGGAGGTGCAACACTCACGCCTTCAGTCTTCACAGCGAGTAAATATTTTGTAAAGACAAGCAACATAAAAACATTTGACCTCCAAATACTCTGGAAAACTCCAAGTGCACTGACTGGCATTTCTCTTAACAGTCTGGAGTCACTTGGCAACGGGCTGTTTCTGTAGCGGTGGTGTTCTCTCTTTCTATCCTACCAAGGTAGCACAGACTCATAAGCCATGCTTAGTTTTGTTAGTCTATCACTTGTGTTGACTGGAGACGTCACTGTGTAGACAGACAGTCCCGATGTTCTGATTCACTGCTGGGAAGCTCTTATGTAATTAACTATTCTGCTCACTGATTCACTTCATTGTAGGAGGGGCTCATGTAAATCATCTATTATTCTGCATCTATAGGCATGTGTAGGCATCTGCCCTATGTGTTCAGCAAACAGAAAAAAGAGAACACGGTCGACCCCCTTAACACTTGACATTGAAATTGGCTGGAAGGTGTTTAGTTCTTTCACTACATTCATACTTTCCAAAGGTTTCAACTCAGGTACTAGAGGGCGAATCACTGCAAACAGAAATAACACGGAACAAAAGTATTTGCCTGTTTGCAATGACCTGTTTCATATTCACTTAAAAGTCTGATAGCAACCAGATGTCTTACAATGATGACAAATGTAATTTATTTCCAATTTCTCAAAACTCTTCTACAGATTCAGGCAGCACAGTCAGCCATTAGGTCACCGAGCGTAGCTGCATCACTGGAGGAATGGAATTGATTAGGCAGATAAATTGCACTGCATGGTTAAGAGTCTCCTAAGAAGGGAGATGGCAGAAATCCAGAGACTAAATAGATGATAAAATGGTCATTTCCATTAAGGGAACATCACATCGCAGATATTAATTAGGAAGCAATGTAATAAAGTTAAGTGCATGGGGAGAAATGCTGAGTTAAAAGTCACCCCAAGTGTCCTTAGCATGAGGTAACCACAAATCTGAAGGAAAGGCTCAGATCTGTGTCTCCACTCACTTTTCAATTGCTGCAGGTAAGTCAGAGATCACCGACCATTCCAGAGGGACAGAGATACATATTAATGTTTTCCTGCTAATACTTCCAGGGAAAGTGACATCCCTTATTTACTATAAAATTAATGGCAAGTAAAATTATTTTCCTACTATAAGAGAATTAAAGTAAATGAAGGAAACTAACTTTGGATTTAAATATACAAAATTTTACCAACGTTTACTAATCTATTTTTTTAAAGATGTAAATTCTTCTTGAAAATTGATGGGCTATTTTATTGTTAGTCTTCAGTGAAAAAATCCTCTAAATATTAAGACTATTTAAAAATTATCATTGCCATATACAAGTGATGGGAACAGTAACAGGTTGAGCGGCAGAGTTCATGAAGAGAGCGCAATGCAAGTGTTGAATGGTTTAGCGGCCAACCACGGGCGGGCGGCCAGCAGTCCTTCCCTCAGGTTTTCTGTGGCGTGTGCACTCTCCCCCTCAGTAGCTTCTTCAGCTTCACCCATCTTACGAACTACATGACAGACAATCCACAACTACAGGCAGACGAGCAGTACGGAGCTGACTGAGACAATGCTGAGAACAAACGGTGGATCTTTCCAAGTCAATGCAATTTTGGAAACAGTTTCAGAATTATAGAAGAAATTCTTCATGTCATTAACTTAAAGTCACAAACTAAGGGTCTGTCTAAGAGAAAAATATTCTTTTGCTGAGGTTAATTTTAATTTTGTGCATAAGCTAAATAAATTTTGTTGTTTGCCTTACTTCACAAATCATCAGATCAAGTGGGTAAGGATGTCTAAACGACACGAAGCCATTCTCTCAAGCACAGAGGAAACATGAAGAAAGAAGAAAACGAACAGAGGTCCAGATACTAGTGCACCACCAAGTGTACCAGCATCTCTACTATCTAGAGAGGAAAGACTGTTCTAAGACACAAGGGCCCCAGGGCTGGGGCTTGGCTCAACTGGCAAAGAGCTTGTTAGAAAGGGCTCCCGGGTCTGACCCCCAGAGCCCCAGTAGAAATGCCAGGGATGGTGCGGTGTGTGTCTGTAATCCTGGTGCTGAGTCGGCACAGACAGGGTTTCAGAGGCTTACTGACCAGACAGCCTCGTCTAATGAGTGGAGGGCTGTCAGAAGGGAGGCGGAGAGTGTTCTTGAAGACAACATCCAAGACTGTCCTCCAGCCTCCAATGCATATGAGCACACCTGTAAGTACCCTCCTTACATCTGCATCTGCACAACATGAACATTAAATAAAAGACAATGGTCAAATAGTTAATCAATTTGATGACAAGAATAACTCTAATGATTCTAGGAGCTCAATGAATTCCAAGTAAAGTAACATCAAAGAGATCCATACCCAGAGAAATCATAATAAAACTGTTAAAAGACAAAGACTCCTAAGAGAAAAACAAAGGGGAAAATCAGATACACTCTTGAAGGCTGCCTGAATATTATCAGAGGCCAAGAGTGTGGCATCAGGATTGGAGCTCAGGCTTGATTTTACCATATACCTCTGCATGGACTTTAGTTTTGTTTTGGATTCCTGCAGGCATATTCTTTTAGTTACTAATGACCTGAATTCAATCCCTAGAACTCGTATGCAGGAGGAGAGAAACAACACCCCAAAGTTGTCCTCTGACCTCCATATGACCTGGGGTACTCAAGCGCCCCCTCCTCCAATAAATAAACAAAATGTATTTTAAAAAATATTGAGTTTAATGTTCCCAAGAGAAAAGCCTTATCTGGGCTGCTTTTGGGGACTCAAGATGGGGAAAAGTAACCCACTGTACAGACACACAGACACTAACCTGTGATGATAAGACACTCATTGTGGTCCAGCACCTCAGTGAAGAAAAGTAACCCACTGTACAGACACACAGACACTAACCTGTGATGATAAGACACTCATTGTGGTCCAGCACCTCAGTGAAGAAAAGTAACCCACTGTACAGACACACAGACACTAACCTGTGATGATAAGACACTCATTGTGGTCCAGCACCTCAGTGAAGAAAAGTAACCCACTGTACAGACACACAGACACTAACCTGTGATGATAAGACACTCATTGTGGTCCAGCACCTCAGTGAAGAGCCGAGAAACAATCAACTCAGGGTTGATTAAAAAGCGGATTTCTTCTTGCACAAGCCCTGCGCCAGTTACACCGCCTCCAACAAAACGATTTGCAAAATCCACCTAGTGGAGAAAATGTAGTATATTAGATGGTGTCTAAAACATCTACAGACATTACAAAGAAACACAGTCTATGGGATCAAATCTTTTTTTTCCCTGTGAAAACTAGTCCCCAGATCTTCCTAAGGAGTGATTATAGTTACATTCCTTCCATCTCAGGACAGCTAACACCTCTGCATATTTGAGTCCTAAAGCTTCTTAAAGAACCTGAAAATTGAGCTTTTAGATAAAATATTAAATAAAAACCTTATCTGTGTCCTTCTAGTCATAAGATTAGTCTTGCTCTAAGATTTCAAGGTCATTTCCCTATGTGTATTTTAAGTGGCTTTCAGACAATAAGACCTTTATTTTCAGTAGTTCTTTTTCTTCTACGGAAGAATAAAGGGATAGAATTTTTATTTCAAATTAAACTTCAACTCCCAAAGTGCTTGACTACTACCAACTATTTTTAAATATACCCAATGGAGGGAGAAATACAAACCAAGCATAAGAACAAAGATTTAACTCCATTAATATTTGTAATTTAGAGCCGGGCGGTGGTGGCGCATGCCTTTAATCCAAGCACTCGGGAGGCAGAGGCAGGCGGATCTCTGAGTTCGAGGCTGGGCTGGACCGACAGCCTCCAAAACAATACAGAGAAACCTTGTCTCGTAAAACAAAAAAACAAAACAAAAAAATTGTAATTTAGTCTGTAAGTCTACATGGGCATCTTTGTTCCTGTTCCAGGGTGTGGGCAAGTACTCGATGCAGTGAGAACCTGATTGCCTGTATGGAGCCACTGTCCTCAAAGGAACGCAAAGTCAACCTGCCACATTACTTCAATTTTAGAAAGTGATTATTTATTTAATTAGATTGTTTACAGTATTCTAAAGAGTTAGATTACAGATGTACATAATTGGTATATAAAATCAAACACACAAGTAAAACAATTTATTATAAATTATAACAAGTTTCTCAATTATAAAATGTAAGTTCTCTCAAAAACTTGTTTATATTTTCTAAAGCCGTGGAATGAAAATATGAAGCCAATTTTATAGAAGAGTAGACAAGAAAACAAAATGAGAAAAGACAGAAATTAATTATTTTACCCATAAGATCTTAGAAAATGCTGAAACATACTATTGACAAATTATTGAAATGAGTATATAGAAAACCATATATTTGCATTTGTGCTCCAGAGTACTACTGAGATTAAAAATCCAGAATAATTATTTCCCAGATATATCACTAATGGAATGAGTAAAAGCTGAGTACAGGGGACAGTGCAGCTCTTCAAAAAGAGGCAGCATCTGACCCTGCGCAGGTTGGCGGCATGAGGGGAAACACAAGGCTGTGCTAACCACTGTTGAAGAAGACAGTGTCTCACTAAGCCTGCAATGTAGAGCACATCACATGGGGGTTAAGGATGATGATAAGGTGGTCTGCGGAATAGACAAGTTTTTACTCAAATCTTGAAGTTTTGGGAATGATTAATTTAACAACTTGGACCAGTGTTTTTATTAAGATAACTCACTGAAAAGAGTAAAATTAATAGCAAAGTAGCTAGATAACCACTGAACAACTGATAGGCCTCAAGTAGGGCTGTGGAATAGTATAAGGAAAAGAAGAGACCTAAAATTCCAGAAATGAAATGGACAGCATTTGAGAAATGGAAAACTACATACCCATCATTGTAATGTTTCTATGAATACAAACAGGGTTTGAGATCAACATAACTTGTTTTTTACTGCAGATACATAATTGAAATAAAAAGATATGATCTATCAACCTTATACACTACTTGATAATATTATTGTTCACTCTTTGATAAAAAAGGCCCCTGACAGTCATTACTTGAGGATGGACACAGAAATATACTGTGATAGCAAGAGCTTAGACAAGAAACAGAACCTCAAAGCTTCTAGTACTTAAAACGTTCTTATAAAGGACCCTCTATAATGGGGGGTGGGGGGACCTGCCTCAGTACAAAAATACATGCACATGAGTGTCTGTTTACTTTTAGCCAGTCATTTTCCAAGTCTCTTACTTTAAAGGTACTTGCTCAGATTACCCAGTTTCTGCATTGTGACTGGATGAAAAGAGAGAAATGATAACACTCCTTACAGAGGTTTCATTGTTGCCATTCAATACAACATAATTTATTTGCTACATAATGAGCTTTTGGAGCACTGCAATACAATAGTCCCTGACCTCCTGGGGAGACGTAGAATGGGTAGAAAGAGCAATTAATAGTACTAGAAGCCTTTATGGTAGTCTTTTAACTTACCAAGGCACCATATTTCCTATATAATATATTGCAGGCAAGTGGGGAGAATCTCAACCCTGACTGTTGGTAAATGATTCCTTGTTGAATTGTTCTGTAATGAGAGGTCAGCATTCCTGTGGTGCTAACTAGCAATAGCTTTGCTTAGTTCTTAGGTACATTATGACGCTCTCATTTTATCCAAGATTCAAATGCAAGAAAGAACTGCATAAAGAAAGAAGTGCAACAGAAAGTGATATTCATTTGGAACAATTTTTAAGCACACTGAAAAATTATATTTTAAGTAGAAGAAAAATTGTAAGATTAATTTATTTTAAGTGTTTTTGTTTGCAAGTTCAAGGAATCACTGGGAGAAGGTGATCTGAGGTAGCAGTGTGTGTATGAGTGTGAGTGTGTGTCTGAGACAGACAGACAGACACAGAGAGAGAGAGAGAGAGAGAGAGAGAGAGAGAGAGAGAGAGAGAGAGAGAGAGAGAGAGAGAGAGAGAGACCATGTGTGCATGAATGTTGGAATAGGGCTCTGCCACAGCTCAGGCAGACTTTGAACACACTGCTGAGCTTGCAGCAATCCTCCTGAATGATGGAGTTACAGGATGTGTTACCACAACCACCTGGAAAGCGATTTAAAACAAAACATAACTACACAACGTGGAACATGCTGATAGCCCAGAAGGCAGAGGCAGGTGGATCATAAGGCTGAGTGCACCTTGGATTATGGAATGAATTAGCAACACACTGAGAAGCTGTCTTACAGAACCCAAAACAAACAGAAAACAGAGCATGCTTCTTTTCGAATTTTATTTATAAATATGTCTACACGAAGGACTGTTTTAGAAAGAATAAGATTCTTTAGCTACTTCGGAACTTAAGCTCCTGCCTCAGACTCTCAAATGTTAGGATTGTGACACTATGCCTTGCTTCTTAATCACTATTTCTCTCAGATTTTGGAAAAAAGTAATGATAGTAATAACTTTATAGTAAGGATTAAGGAATAAACAGGACTGCCTGCTTTTCAACAGAGAAAAGACAGAACAAACAGCTACATCATGTGCTCTGAGAGGTCTATATGGGAAAGAAGTCTGTTTTACCAATCAGTCTTAGTTGTCTGCCTCCTACACCCAAACAAGGCTTCTGGTGACATAAAAACATCTCAACCTCGTCATGATTTGGGGCAAAGACAAGCCTTTAAAGAAAAAGAACAAAATTTCCTGATGACAGCTTGTCAAGACCATACCCCAGGAACTTCAGCCTCTGTCAATCCACAAGTAGTGTCCAAACCAATCTGATCTCGAGATTTTCTGTCAAAAGCTTTTATATCAGGCACACGAGCACACACGGGCAAACAGCCGCTGCCAAAGCGAGCTGCTCTGTGCTTTAATCCATACTTTTTTTTTGCATTAGATCAATCTAGGAGACAAGTTTCCAAATTTCCTTTTCTATCAGAACCCTGGCGAGAGGAAAGTCTTAAGTGTGCATATATGTCTTCTATTTACCTACCTGTAACATACCTCGGCCATTGCCTTCTATGGTACCCTCGTAAGTGACATGTAATCGCGTCAGGGGTTTCTCACATCTACAATGTAGAAGGTATTTCTCAGGTAAGTAATGCACGACACACAAATCACAAAATACAAATGACTATGAACAAGCAAATGAAACCATTCAGGATCCCAAGAGTCAGAAAGAAACGCTAACAAGCACGGTCTTTCTCCTCCCAGCTTTTCTTACTCAATACACATACTTACTTTAAAGTGAGACCGAATATTATTTTCCTCTACATGAACTTAATAGTTAAAAAGATTTCTTAAGACACAATATGATACTTTATTATCATACTAGATCTGCCTGGTTCTTCTTAGATGGGTCCTACTTTCACTAGTTTGACAACTCGAGCCAGTGGGATTCTGACCCATGGAATTTTTATATTAACACTGTTGACAGATAAACCTAGCATTTGCAAATAAGTATTCAGGAGGCACAATTATTTTTGTTTCATAAACTATGGTTACTGAGACACTGGTCTGTGTGTGTTACAACAGGTTGATCATTAACAACATCTGAAGGTGTTATTCTTTTTTCTTAGTAGATTCACCTCCTCTAATTGCTTACTGAACAAAAAAATCGATTAGGATATAATGGATATGTTTTATTTGTACTTACTATTTATATTAATTTATAATAACACGGATGCTAATTGAAATGGTACTCTTACAATGTTTTTGGAGTAGGTGGTGAATAAGCACACAAACGAGATATACACACACACTCACACACACACGAAATTTAAAAGTGTTATTTATTGCTGAGATTTACTAATGTCCTAATTTTATGAGCCCACAAACATTTATGGCAAAACTCTAGCCTAACTGACAGATAAGCTTAATTAAGTTCCTTTAAGACAACTTCTAGTTTAAGAACTTTATTCGGATTAACTCATTTAATTATCAGAAGAACCCCACTTTACAGATGGAAAAGAAAACACGGAAAGCATTTAACTGATTTACTCAAACTAGTAAATAAAAGCAGTGAAATTTCAACCCAAGGAGCCTCTCACTAATTGAAACTCTTAACAGTATATCATGCTTTTAGAAAAGATTATCAGAAAGTCTATAGGTTTGATTTTGTGTTTTTGTTTACTTATCTTGTATGCATGTGTATGTTTGTGTGTGGGTACCTGAGCCTCAAGGCTTGTGTACAGGTCAGAGGACAACTCCGTGGGAGCTGGTTCTCTCCTTCACTTATGTGGGTTCTGGGAATGGAACTCAATTAGATTATTTTTAACTTCCTTTTCATGGGTTTAGTTTCTTAGTCATTTTTATTCTGAGGGCGACTGACTATGAGGATACAACTGGAAGACAAAGAGGAACAATCCAGAAATCTGTGAACTGTCAATTGGGACTACTTTTAGCAACATTTCTTCAAAACTGAAGTTAGCAACCAGGTACACTGGTTCTCACTGTAAGCAGGGAATGGCTACAGGGAATGATATGACTTGTCTGATAAATCCTTTAATCTCCTAGTAGCTCTCTCTCCACTTTCCGTCTCTGCAAATACTCTGCATTCTTGCCCCAAGAATCAAAGATATAAACGATGTGATTGACTAAGCCTCACTAAAGTACCTGCTAGCAGTCAAATGGTTACCGGATTATACCAGAAACAGACTTCAGGAAAGCCTCTGACTCCATGATACCCATGCAGTCCCACACTCTTCACAGTACCAGCCATCCTTATCTCTCCTTCATCCTCCCTCTTTATTTTATTTATTTGTTTTTTTGAGAAGCGTTTCACTGTGTAACAGCCTTGACTGTCTTGGAATTAGTTCTGTAGACCAGGTTGGCCTCAAACTCACAGAAATCCACCTGCCTCTGCCTCCCAAGTGCTGGGATTAAAGAAAGGCGTGTGCCACCATGCCAGACCATCTGGCCAACCTCCTTCTTTAAATGCATGCATTTTCCTAGTCTTGTGGAGCCTGGGAGACTGATTTTAATTACATTAATTACATTTCCAACATGAAGCAGCTGAAACAAACAAGACACCAATAAAGTAATATTAGGTTAGAAAAACAGTCCTAAGTTAGGCCCTGCCTATCAGAGTTAAAGGACAGTCAGTCTCCCACAGGGACTGTTACTGTGTTCCTTTCACAAAGCTGCCCCGCCATTGTCTACACTTGTACCTGTCTGTGCTGATGCTGGCTACCCTTTACTTTAGTGACAGCCGAGTGTGCACTGTGAAGGATGCACAACAAACTGATACCAAAGTGACATGAACAAGACATACTGTACTTCTCAATTCCCGTGTCTCAGCATAGCAGAGGACAAAGACATGAACAAGACATACTGTACTTCTCAATTCCCGTGTCTCAGCATAGCAGAGGACAAAGACATGAACAAGACATACTGTACTTCTCAATTCCCATGTCTCAGCATAGCAGAGGACAAAGACATGAACAAGACATACTGTACTTCTCAATTCCCGTGTCTCAGCATAGCAGAGGACAAAGACAAGGGATGCTCTCAACTAGTTTGGACAGGTGACACAGTAGATGCAGTTCTAGGCAACACATTTGAAGAGAAACAAATGAAATCCAGGTATGTCAAAGGCAAGTGCATGATCCAAAAATAATAGTATACACTTGTGTCAATGTTAAAAGTAGAGGTCAAGAAAGCAATTTTAAGGTATGAAAAAAGGTCAAACGTTGAAGAAGTTTACAAATCATATTCACTAATTGCAGTTCCAGGAAAAATAACCACAAATGGTGGAATGGACTTAAAGAAGACAGGTGATTTTGGTGAAATACAATCTTAGGTATTAGGTAGCTAACAATGAAATAGGCTGTGTTAAAACAAGGAATTTCCCATCAATGAGCCTGTCTGGTCTCCATCTATTGAAGGGATGGCAGATTCACTACCATTCTAGTGGGCTTCCTGGGCCGCTTTTATCTCTAACTGCCATGGTTCTAAGTACACTTGCTTCCTGGCTCATGTCTTCTCCATGTTCACGTTGCTTTTTTCTATCCATGGTGGCTCATGCCTTTAATCCCAGCACTCTGGAAGCAGAGGCAGGCGGATCTCTGTGAGTTCAAGGCCAGCCTGGTCTACAGAGTGAGTTCCAGGACAGCCAGGGCTACACAGAGAAACCCTGCCTTGAAAAACAAAACAAAAAAATCATTTCAATCACACATTCAGCCTGCTGAAGTTGTTTCACAAATAAACATCTGTGAGGAGCAAAGCTTCACCTACGTAGACAGGTCCTTTCAGGTTAACTACCTTCAGGGTTATTCTCAACAAAATTACAAACTATGAAAACAATCAGGAATGAGAGACATTCCTTCACGTGAAACATATACCGAAAATGTACATGCAGAAAGCATTATCGTATCTTTCTCTGTATTTAAAAACTGGCCCATATTTCTCTAACCATTAGGAATTTGCTCTAGATTAGGAAATGTATTAACTACTTCAGAGTAGTAAAGATCTTACAAATGTGGATTAACTCAGACTGGCTATTACCCTCCTCAGTATTTCTAGATAAACATGAAAAAAAAAGTGTATTAAGTAGGGAATCCACAAAGTTTTTCAATTGTACACATGGAAAAATCAAGCCTCGAAGTTCCTGACCTGCCGATTCTAAAACACAGTAAATGAGATGTTTCTCTGTGCTGTTCTCTAGGAGGAAAATCCATCACAATATAAACACATACTGCAAAAGGGTGTTAGGGCGAACACAGACGTTCCACGCAGTAGCAGCATCTTTATATAGAAAAACTCTCAATTCTAAACATGTGTTTCAAAAGTCTTAATGAAGTCAAAAGATGAGAATTTATTCTAAAAGACACATTCTAACAATAAGAAGCAAGGATCAGCCATTCATGGGCAGAATCCCCTTGGATGCAGGGCAATTAAAGGTTGAAATCATCTTTCCAAGAGCCGTAAAACAGAATCCTCTCATCATCAAACAGACCCTGGAATTCTAAGGTTGATGAAGCTTTTTATGTTTGTTTGGTTTTTGTTTGTTTTTTTTTTTTTTCCGAGACAGGGTTTCTCTGTAACAGCTCTGGCTGTCCTGGAACTCACTTTGTAGACCAGGCAGGCCTCAGAACTCACAGAGATCCACCTGCCTCTGCCCCCAGAGTGCTGGGATTAAAGGCGTGTGCCACCAATGCCCAGCTTGATGGTTATTTTTATTATTACCTTTCCCATTCTGGAAAATCTTCGAGACTCTGTCTTGTAAATGTCACCAATCCAGTAGGTTCTACAAAAGTCATAAAAGAAAACAAACACATAAAGTATTAATTTTTAATTTACATATGCTTAGTAAAAGAATCTGACTAATAGCACACAAACAATAATTAGAACCAGGAACAGTAGCATATGTTTGTGACCACACACTTGGGAGTGGACGCAGGAGGATGAGAAGTTAAACTCAGTTTTAGACGAAGCTCATTCTATGACATGCGGAACCTGCAGATGATGACTTCTTGGCTACAGAGGTCAAAATAATGACTAAAAATGCAACCTTCTTAACAGTAGGTTCTCCTTCTACAAAACAATCTTCCCTCACTAAAGAAAACTGCAAATAACAATACAATAGTATGATTTGAGGCCTGGTACTTTTCGGTGATGCTTTAAAAACTGAAAAGTAAGAATTTAAGGGAAAAAAGATCTGCTTTTAAAGAAACAATAGACTTAAAATGATCAAAATTAAATATTACTAACATAGTCAGTACTTTTGAAGAAAACATTTTTTGGTTAGATTTACTGTTTGTTTTTTTTTTCAGTCAAAAGCAAAAAAATAAGTCAGCTGGCCAGAAGTAATTTGTCTGCTTCCGACCAAAGAACAAGCTAAAAAGCCGTTGCCATGCCTGCTGTCATCTGAAGCAAAGGCTCTTAAAGAAGAAAGAGACATCAGACACAATTAGTGCTGATGGTGCTGAGTTCAGTGAAAGCTCCACAATAATTTTATTCTTTTTTTCCATATTTTTTATTTAACTTTTTACGCATGTCACTTTCAGTTCCCTCTCCCACCCCCCAATAATTTCATTCTTTCATTCTGTGAACAGTTCTGCATTCTTTACTCTCAGTAACACCTAAATCAACTCACATATTACATAGGGAAGCAGTATGAGAACCAGGGCTTCTTGTTAATATGGATATTAAAGTAGCCTTTAGATTATTTAAGACAAATGACAACATACTTAAAACTCACAAGAAATCAAATAATCTAAACACAAGAGAAGCAATGTGAGTGTATGAAACCAATGTCTATCTTATCATTCAATTACTCAGCAGAGAATTGAGGCCATTAAATGTCATTCACACGTAAGAGAGACTAAAAGAAACTGAAGGCAAGAGAAGAGAGGGGGAGAATGAGGTGGCCATCCAGATGGAAACAGTAACACAACATCTGGAGAGCATGTCCAAGTCATCAAGTTTTACATATCTAACTTACAATACCTTTACTTCTGAAGTTATAGAAAATAATTTAATTCAGAAGACTATTACATCTTATAGTCCTCAAGACCTCATCATGAAAATTAAATATATATGTTTAACAAAAGAAGCAGGTCCTGCTAGAGTTATGTTGTATCCATTCTAAACCTATGTTTTGGTTTCATTTCCTAAGTTTCCAAAACTAGTGTACTATTTTACAGTGGAACTACTGAGGCATAGGATTAAAATATAACTTTCCCCAAGAAGACTGGTGTCTGCTTTAATAGTCAGCTTGAGGCACCACTGACTTGAAACTGGATCCAATCCTGTCGTGGGCCTTTGCAGACCACACTGGAGGTAGGATTGCAAGCCTGGTACTTGAAGCTTAAGGTTCAAATTCTCAGAGCTTCTTCCTCTCCTCTATCCAGTTGAGATGGAAGTTTCTACTGTATCCTTTCTGCATGGCGAGGTTGATTCTCCTTTCCTTGTGACTAAGAGCACAGATGTCTGGTGAGCCAGGTTTGAGTGGCATCTTACCTCTAAAAGTTCCCCATCTCCAAATGTCTTCTTCTTAGAGACATACAGTGTTATGGAACTTTCTACCATCTATAGTATCTTGGAGTTTAATGCAATATGGTATTTTAAACTGATTTCTGAAGTTTCTATACAGTAGACTCCAGAAACTCTACTACAAGATTTTCATTCCCCTTCATATTATTTCCTTTACCAGAGTCACATCAAGACTCAGAGGAACATTGTGCTGTATTTCTACAGAGAAGTAATTACCATGCAGAGTGGGAGAGGGGCAGGAAAGAAGCAACTTTTATTTATATAAGTTTCTTTATTTATATATAATTTCCTCAATCTAAGTTCCAAAGTTTATGAAGGTTTATACATTTCTAGTTAAACAAAAGCTTTTAATTTTTCCCCTCAAAATAAATAAAGCACTAAAACTTAGAAAAGCAAATTAGCTTTTAGAAAAGAATTATGATTTGACTCAGAAAAGTCAACTTTCAATCTTATTTATATCTAAAACATGTTAGTAAAAATAATTAGTAACTTGATACTACATTGAATTACATAATTGCAATTCTAGTACTTAAAGGTGGGGATATGAGGACTCTGAGTTCAAGGCCAGCCTGTGTTACACAATGAGACCCTACCTCAAAGGAGACCTATTTCTGTGTGTGTGTGTGTGTGTGTGTGTGTGTGTGTGTGTGTGTGTGTGTGTGTGTGTGTGTGTGTGTGTAAGTCAGAAAACGTTAGGGTATTCCTCAGGCACTGCCAACTTCCATTCACTCACTCACTCACTCACTCACTCACTCACTCACTCACTCACTCACTCACTCATTTATTTAAGACAGGGTCTCTCACTGGCCTAGTAGGCTAGGTTGGTAGCTTGTCAAGTAGGTTAGGCTGGCTGGCCAGAGAACACAGGGACAAGCCTATCTTGGTGGCTTTTTCTCACATGGGTACTAGGGAGTCAACCTAAGGTCCTTGCCAGCATTAGCAACTCCCCAGCATAAAGGTCACATTTTCAACAAATCATTATGAATTCTAATTTAATTGTGATTCTAATAAGCCTGAACAACCCTGCATCTTCCTTAACATTTCTTTCAGTATAGGGTACAAAACTAAATTAGGTAAGCTATAAATACTATTTTATAAGAATATGGTTTTCCCCATAAATATCAAAGTCTTCTTCTCCAGACTTCTTTCTAGAAATGTGACCAACATCTAACAACATTGTATTTAAAGGGGTAAACGACCTTGGAATGATTTCAAGATCTGATCTAAGACATTCTTCCAAGCTGGAGACTAGAAAGGAAGAAAGCTTTCACTTGACCATGCTAGAAGTGACTTTCTCAGTAAGTCTTCTGGCTTTCTTATACCTTGCAGGAAAGTCTACCTACTGGTAATAGTTAATATAGAAAGTGTGTATCTTCTTGCTCAATGTCTGCAACTATCCTAGAGGTAAACATAATTATACTTCTATCTCACAGATGAGAACCTGCTTTGGGGAAATGAAGGTAGTCTGGTCCCACAGAGGAAGACAGACACTGAGAACAAATCAGTCTCATAAAAACTCTATGAAGAGCTTAGTGGATGTGCTGGCCAGTTTTTATTGTCAACTAGACACAAACTATAGTCACCTTGGGAGAAGGAATCTGAGTTGGTGACTTGTCTAGATCCAAAGGTCTGTGGCCATGTCTGTGAGAGACTACTTTGCTGGATGACTGACGGGAGGGCCCAGCCTACTGTGGGCTATACCACCCCTGGGCAGGTGGGCCTGAGCCACATGAGAGGCGGAGCCAGCAAGCAGTGATCCGCTATGGCGGCTGCTTCAGTTCCGCTGAATTCCTGCCTTGACTTCCCTTACTGACGAAGTGTAGGCTAAAGTAACCCTACCCACAGGCTGCTCTTCGTCATCGTGTTTGCCACAGCTACTAACTAGGACAGTGGGGCAGGGAAGAGGAAAGGGAAAAACGGATGATTCCATCTATAAAAAGTAAGCTAGCTAATGCTTCTTGAAATGAAAAGCATCCTAAGTATGTTTTTCTGGGCATTGTACTTTCTTCCCTTTCCTTTTTTTCGTTTTTTGACACAGGGCTTTCCTGTGTAGCTTTGAGGCCTGTCCTAGCGCTTGCTCTGTAGACCAGACTGGCCTTGAACCCACCGAGATCCACTTGACTCTCTCTCCCTAGTGCTGCGATTAAAGCTGTGTGCAACCACCATCTGGCCTGCACTTTCTTTTGAAAGTCATTTTGAGTCACAACAACTCTTGGGTATGAATTTCAAATTATTTCAGATATTACAGTACACATTTATGTTTATACATAAGCAGTATAAGATTTAGGATATCATATTAAATCATTATTGTTTAAATGTTTTTGAACAAGCAAGTATAATTCAAAATACAAATATTTCTGATTATTTGGTTTGAATTTTCACAATCAGCAAGGGAAATTATAGTTACGAATAAAAGGAATTTACTTTTCTCTGTAACTCTTCGGAAGTAGCAAAAGAGTGTTTTCAGTTTCTCTGGTTTCCTTGATGAGCGTCCTTCAAACAACCTGAAAGAGTCCAAAAGTTATAGCGTTTGTAATTCATAAGCACAAACAGATTCTTCCAGAGTGGGTCCTGGGATTTGGAGAGCCAGGAAACTGCTATGGATACAGAGGACATCCGGAGAGGACTCACCCGCGGTACCCGGCTCCTGCAAGGCCAGCCAAGTCAACAGTGGTGCTCGTATTGCGCCTGGCCCTCCAGCCCAAAAAAGAACCTGTCCTGCACCCAGGGCCAGTCAGGGCCAGACAGCTAATGTCTTCATGCAAACACTGTGTATCACCTACAGTATTACTGAGTAGTTATGCATCCAAACAAATGGTATCTCAGAAAACCCTCACCCTGAGTATTTGTAATGGAGTGAGGGAACTGAGTCAGGACAGACACCTATGACAAGACCCTGGGACTGGGTGAGCAGCCTTTGGCAATTAAACTGATCCTGTTCTGTCTTCCGGAAATTCCTGTGCTGAATACAAAATCCCCAACAAGGTTCTACTGGAGATAAGGCCTGTGAGGCCGAGGAAAAGGCTAGTGAGGTCAGATGAGAAGGTCTAAGTCCTACAGGACTAGGTTCCTGAGAAGAGGCAGCGGGTGAGACAGCAAGAAGACACGGCCTATAAGACATGAGGAACCTCACCTCACACTGAACCACCAGCACCTTGATCTGGAACGTCTAGGCATCCAAACTGTCAAAAAATAAACTATAGTTTGAGCTAGCAAGGTATTTTTTATAGCAGTCTGAGTTAATGCAGATCCCTTGCTTGATAACACAACCCAAGCCTTCTTTGTGCTTCAGAGTCCAGCACCCTCCATTTGCACTGTTTGTCTCTGTTTTCTTTGTTAACGGCACGGCATTGCTATTGTTAACATTAATGCAATTTATCCAGAGGAAAGAAACGCAGGGCTTTAGAAGCATATGACCTGGGTAAGTAGTTCATTATAAGGTTTCACACAAAAGCACACTTTTGGGCATAGGACTTAGCTTTCCAAAGGCATTTAAAAAGCAGACAAAGATTCAGTGACTATAAATAATGAAGAATTTCTGCCCCTAGTCATATATTCTGCCTTTAAATCCAGAAAGCCTTCAAGTAAAAGTCTTCCTTAGTAAGTGGTGAAACGGGTACCATTTTTCATGACTAGAAGAACAATCTTATGTAAGAATGTAGAAAAGGACAAGGCAATTCACAGAGAATCCTATAACCAAAATGAATTAGAAAATGGAAAAGAAACACAGCAAGGGATTCTGTGTAGAAGGATCTGAATTCAGTCAATTCCTGGAGAAACAATGTCCCCTGAAAGGAATGCCAATGCTGTACAGTATTTTAACCTGCCTTATGTGCTGCTTTAAAAAATAGTTTAAGTGTCCTAAGTTTTACTCATTTCAGGTTTGTTGTTCTAAAATATTTTATACAAACATGCTTAAATCTAGATGGCAGCTTTAAAAGAGTATAAAAATGAAGGTTTCAGCCTGGTCTCTTTTGTAATATGTCAACTAGAACAGAGTCTGCTTAAATAAAAAATGACAATGCAAATGAAAAAGTCACATGGCAGTTTAATTAAACATCCTATATCAAGAATATGATTTACTAAATGAATACCTTGACCTCTATGCAAAATCCTTTTCTAAAATTACTACGTAACAGAAGAAAGGAGTATAAATAGAAAATACAGCCATCATCTCTCTGTATTTTTTTTAAGGGATGAACTGATGTATTATACAGTTCAACTAAGGGGGAAGTTCTTAACTATGACTATTAGAGAAGGAGGAGAAAATGACTATTGCCCTTAATGAGTAATTTCCCCCAAAGGAAAAATGTCCCATATATAGTCAGCTACTTGTAAAATCACATAAAAGCCTTCATATTTCATAGCCATAATCACAAATTATTAACCTTAGAAGCTCCCTGAGATCACAGACTTATTATCCTGGCAATATGGACTTTTCTAGAATATTATATGGCTATTATTATCACTATAAATGAGAGTAACTATTTTATTTTACAAATTTAAATCCTAAAGGTACAGAGCTGGGCATGGTAGTGTATGCCTGGGATCCTGGTATTTGGGATGTTAAGGCAGTAAGATCAGGAGTTCAAGGTCAACCTCAGCTAGTGAGTTCAAGGCTAGCCTGAACTACATTACACTGTCTCAAATGAATCATCCAACCAGCCAGATAAGCAAAATACTCCCAGATTTCTATAAATCAAGCAGCACTTGAATGCATCATATTCATTCACTATTCCAAGCCTGATTTCAAGTCACCGTGTAACCAAATAAGATTTCTCAGATTATTTTTATGTAAATATCGGTTTTTCTTTCTTTCTTCTTCTTTTTTTTTTTTTCCAGTTTTTCAAGACAGAGTTTCTCTGTATTATTTTGGAGGCTGTCCTGGAACTCGCTCTGTAGACCAGGCTGGCCTCGAACTCACAGAGATCCACCTGCCTCTGCCTCCAAGTGCTAGGATTAAAGGTGTGCGCCACCAATGCCCAGCTTCGGTTTCTTTTTTAAATACTATTTTTATGTATCTGCACATGTGTTATGTGCACAAAAGTTACGGTGCCTGGGTGGGGGTCAGAGGACAACATCTGGAAACCAGTTCTTTACGTCCACTACAGGATTTAGGGACAGAATTCAGGTAGCAGAACTGTGTGACAAGCACCTCATAGCTGAGCATTCACCAGCCTTTTCTCCCCATCACCACCGTCACTGCTGTCGCCCTCCTCCTCCTCTTCTTCCTCCTCCTCCTCTCTCTTATACAGCCTTGGCTGGCCCAGAACTTGTGATGTGGATCAGGCTGGTCTCAAATTCAGAGATCCACCCAACTCTGCCTCAGAGTGCTGGGAGTAAAGGTGTACACCACTGTGTGTGTGTGTGTGTGTGTGTGTGTGTGTGTGTGTGTGTGTGTGTGTGTGTGTGTGTGTGTGTGTAAGTGCAGGCAATCAGGGAAAACAGGTTTAAAATCTTTGTGACAATTCCTCAGTTTGGTTCCACTATGCATAACCACCCAAATAAAATGAGTTATCCTATTTTTGTATCATGTAAAAAATAGCAGACCCCATCGGAAGTGAACATGAAAAGCGTTAACACGGGGATGATACACAACCTGAGAACAGACTCTGGGATAAAGACAAAGAAACACAAAGGGGCTGAGGATGGAGCAGGGAGGGTAGAGTGAGGCTGACCAACATGGGCCTGGGAAGACAGAGGATGTGAGAAGGGCAAGTAACAGCTATCAGGTGTTACCTGATTTTAAACTTCCTTTAAATGTAGATTTTTCAAGGCCCTGGGTATGTAAATGTGAAGTACAGCATTTTTTAGTCAGCAAATGTATACAAATTTGTACATAAGCCAGGACATAATAATCCTTGCCTATGTAGGGAGACATCTATACATTTTACTACATGAAAATTACAGATTATTTTTAGAAAACAATAGAAGCTAGTCAGGCAACCTTACTTTGTTCTAAACAAAACATTTTGCATTGTCAAGGGAAGAAGTCAGTAAAGGGTCAGAGAGTTATTAGGGTCTGTTTTTCCTTCCATACTTATAGAGAAACATGGGTAACTAAAATCTTTCATTGAGTGGAAATACTGAAAACATTACTGGAATTAGATTTTATACACACACACACACACACACACACACACACACACACACACTTTAAATTAAGAATCAATCCCACTGGTATATAGTAAATCAAGTCCAAAGCACTAAAACCTCCACTTTAAAACAGAAGCAAGTGATAATATGGGGTGCAGCCAGAAAGTCATTCTTGGCTCCTTTGTGAGGCACTCTGCCATATGGCCCCAGCAGCATTTTCAATTCAGGGAAGAGGCAGATGTAAAAGCCTCCTGGGCTGCCCACTGCTGAGACCCACAATTTATCTCTGACCATCTAGTTTCCATGTGATTTCAGAAGCATCAATGCTAATCACATTGGAAGCCTTTATATAAATGTTCAGGCTGAGGAAGGCAAGCAGGGGAAAAGGTCAGAGGTATTTAACATAACTAAGCAGGCCTGGAAGAACACAACAATAAATAAAAGAAGGAAGGGTTATTCAATTTATTGACGTCAGCCTCCCATCACATACTTCTGCCATTTTTCTTATTCAATCAAGTAGCTAGCCCCATCTCAAAGACTGAACTCTCTCTCTCCCTCCCTCCTTAATCTTAAATAGAAACCAGAAAGCAAGGAAAGAAGGAAGGAAGGGATGGCGGGAGGGAAAATCCTACATTATTGGTTTAACAAATGGCTTATTGTACTCGATCTTCTAGAAGCAGGGGGGAAAGGGAACTTTATTTATATCTTGAGCATCCTCAGAACACTCTGCTTTGGCAAGGTAGTCAGACAAGAAAAGTAGCAGGCCTGAGCAGAAGACCGTGCTCAAGTCTCATATATATATATATACACATACATACACATGTGCTCTCCAAAGCCTCACTCAGATACAAACTTTCCTGCCTAGAAACTCCCACAGAGAGAACACAGTGGGCCATAACAGACACATCAGTGGTTATGAACATCATCATTCTTGACATCCTCACAGCAATGCACGTAAAATAAAACGAAAGCAACAATGACTTCACAAGAGGAAGGTAGGCACACATTGCTGAAGAGTCCCACCCCGCCCCGTCCTGGCAGATACCTAAAAACTTGACCTGTAAACTGAATCTTGAAGGAGGAATAAAAATCACATGGCAAGAAGGGCAGTCCAGAAAGTTACAAGTTTTAAAAACAAGACAATTTCTGCCTACGAGACACAAAGGATTTGGCCTGCCTGGTCTCTATAACTAGTGCACTTAACGGAGTGAGGGATACAGGGGCTGCTTGCTCTCTACTTGGGCTACACAGAATAAACATCACCCTCTTAAGCTCAACTACTGTTTGAAGATGGAACCACACCACACCACACAGCAGACATTTATGCAACTAAAAGGTTATGTGCTGTAACATGGATACCATCCTGCTTGCCAACAGTAGGGCTTTAAGGAAATTCTCTTACATTGATACTATCATTTTTTTGGTTGTTACTGCTCCCCTTTAGTGCTGATGGTACAGACTGTATAAGATATTTCTATTCGTGTTTTAATGCTTGTGAACCCTTTATATAACTTGAGAATTATGGTAGCCTCAGAGTATTCTTTTTGTTTTTGTTTTTAGAGACAGGTTTTCTGTGTAGCCCTGTAGACCAGGTTGGCCATGAACTCACAGATATCCACCTGCCTCTGCCTCCCAGTGCTGGGATTAAAGGTGCGGGCTACCACTACCATCTGGCTGAGTGTTCTTATATTTAAATAATTTCATATTTTTCATTTGCTTTAAAAATCCTAGAAATGTATTGAAATGTCTTAATTTTGACTTTTAATTAAAAAATTCTATCAGCTACTAATCAGCTTTTTTTTCTAGAATTTTTCTCATCTCCAGGGAGAGAAGCATTTTGTAAATGCAAAAGACTTAACACAGGCCTTTGGAATTAACACTACGGCACTGGAGAGAATTATGAATTCATTTCTGTACTGTCATGTCGAGCTGTCAGAAATGCTGCCCATGTAAAATAAGTTGAACTAAAAACAATGAGCAAACCCCCAACCAGATCTCAGTCTCTAAATGAAAGGAATCAAGGACCTTCAGATAATGGTTGGTTCCAGGGCTGGGGAATGGATAATATAAGCCTAGAACATTTTATGACTCCAAAGGGAAGGCTATGCTCAGAAAGATGATAGGAATTTGCCAAAAGTGTCCAAGAGTTTATTTTTAAATAGCCCTGATGTTCAAAAAAAACATAAATAGAAAAAGAAGGATAATTGCACTAAATTTTATGATGTACAATAAAGATCATCCATTGGGATATTAAAAAAATAGGAGTTAAGGATAGGATAGCTCTTCCTTACAATAAAATTTCAGTTAATAAACAGAAAATAGAATAGAAAAAATTACAATAGTCAAACACTATCAAAATAAATACAGGAAAAAATCAATCAACAGATGCTAAAACTAGTGTGGAAAAATGTGAGATCATTTGCAGTATTTTATGTTTCCTAGGAAAACACAGAAGGTAAGTTCTTTTTCAGTGGTTGAAGCCAGGAGAAGTTACTTTGGCTAGCTGATGAATTAAAAGTCCATTAATATAAAGGCTGGGCTGAGAAGGCCATCAGACCAATTCTGTGATACCTCTGTCCAAAGCCATGGCCTGCCCTGTGTCATGGCTCACGCATACGACCTAGCACCAGGGAGGCCGAGGGAGGAGAACCACTGGGAATCTGAGGTCAGCCTGCCTGCTCTAGAGTCAGACCTTGTCTCAAAAAAATAAAAACCAACCAACCAAAATAACACGACCTCATTCTATTGTGAAATGACATTAGCCACGTTCACATGGAAAACATTTTACAAGATAACTAACTGATAGTCTTCAAGGAGGTCAAAGTCATACATAAAAGGAAGGAAAAATTCTAAGAACAGGTTGGAGAAATCTAAGCAGACACATGTAATGTAATACTAGGAATGAGCCGCATTAGAAAAAAGGGTAACAGAAAAACTATAAGAATTTGTAAGGCCGTAGGTCAGTTAAGTGTTAAACCAGTATTAACTGCCTAGTTATGATTATTTTTCACTATGGCACAAAGGATGTTAAAAAGCAAAACTACATGAGTTGTACACAGGAGCTCTTAGGTTCTATTTCTGCAACTTTTGTTCAAGTCTAAAAGTATAAAGAAACCAAAGGTGAACGAAAGGTTCCACTGTAACAGTCTACCTGGAAGATAAGGAGCGACTGCGCTGTGGCTCTTGTGCTTATGTTAAGGCTGTTGTTATCCAGCTGCTGCACTGTTGTTATCCAGCTGCTGCACTGTTATCCAGCTGGTGCACTGTTATCCAGCTGGTGCACTGTTGTTATCCAGCTGGTGCACTGTTATCCAGCTGCTGCACTGTTGTTATCCAGCTGGTGCACTGTTGTTATCCAGCTGGTGCACTGTTATCCAGCTGGTGCACTGTTGTTATCCAGCTGGTGCACTGTTATCCAGCTGGTGCACTGTTGTTATCCAGCTGGTGCACTGTTGTTATCCAGCTGGTGCACTGTTGTTATCCAGCTGGTGCACTGCTGTTATCCATCTGGTGCAATGTTGTTATCCAGCTGGTGCACTGTTATCCATCTGGTGCACTGTTATCCAGCTGGTGCACTGTTGTTATCCATCTGGTGCACTGTTGTTATCCAGCTGCTGCACTGTTATCCAGCTGGTGCACTGCTGTTATCCATCTGGTGCAATGTTGTTATCCAGCTGGTGCACTGTTATCCAGCTGGTGCACTGTTGTTATCCAGCTGGTGCACTGTTGTTATCCAGCTGGTGCACTGTTGTTATCCAGCTGGTGCACTGTTGTTATCCAGCTGGTGCACTGTTATCCAGCTGGTGCACTGTTGTTATCCAGCTGGTGCACTGTTGTTATCCAGCTGGTGCACTGTTATCCAGCTGGTGCACTGTTATCCAGCTGGTGCACTGTTATCCAGCTGGTGCACTGTTATCCAGCTGGTGCACTGTTGTTATCCAGCTGGTGCACTGCTGTTATCCAGCTGCTGCACTGTTGTTATCCAGCTGGTGCACTGCTGTTATCCAGCTGGTGCAATGTTATCCAGCTGCTGCACTGTTATCCAGCGGGTGCACTGCCTCAGAAGCAAAGCACACGCAACTACAGATGGCACAGGTGGACGTCTGTTGGGGAAGTCCTGTGCATGTGTCAATAAAGCACTGTCTGGCCAATAGGGAATCTAGATAGGAGGGACTAGGAGTCCAGAAGGACTCTGGGAAGGAGAAACACAAGAGAGTTCGAGATGTAACGCCATGGGGTAGGAAGCCCGGAACTATTCTCTGGTAAGAGACATACTTAGATTAACAATTATGGGGTAATTACTTAAGTCAGAGATAGCCAGTAAGAAACAAGCAAGGCCAACAGCTTCATAATTAATATAGCCTCCTGTGTGTTTATTAGGGGCTGATGCGGCTCTAGAACCAGGCTGGTGAGAAGGCTTCTCACAAGAAAAAGGCTTCTCTTTACAGACGTCACACTCATCCTAGTGCGAAGGAGGCACAGAGAAGTGCTTTCTGAAGGTCTGTCCTTTACTAGGGAAGAAATTCATTTTCTAGTCAAATTTCATAAAGATATGCTCAAGAAAAGAAGCAAGAGCTGAAGAGTGAGAATAAGTGGCATTTATTTCTCAGTAAAGCTTCTTAGAATGTTTTCATTTGGACAGATGATAGAATACTCATTTGAAAAGTAGCTGAAGTCTAAATGTTTATGATGTATTAATTAATTAATCATAATGTATAAATCTGATAATTTGAATACTTCTTTGCTTTCCTTAAAAATTACACTGATAAATTAATCATGTCTATTAAAAAAGGAAAAAAGTCACTTCATGCGTTCCACCCCTCCCACATGGACACAAACACTATATATATCTCTCCATTCTACAAGACTTTTTATTCCTTTCTTTGAGATAGTTTTACTGTGTAGCTCTTTTACTGTGTAGCTCTGGCTAGCCTGGAGCTCGCTATGTATACCAGGTTGGCATTGAACTAACAGAGTTCACTTGCCTCTGAGCCCTCTCAAGTGCTAGATTAAAAGGCATGTGCCACCATGCCCAGTGACTTTATATCTTTAGATAAGATCTTTACAAAAACGAGGGCTTTTATTCCCATTTTTAAAATTGCTTCATCATAGGATGTAATATGCAACAAATGTCCCTGTGAGTAATCAAACTGAGCAACTGAGCAACAGATGGAGTACAAGCACTCAGAAGAGGACAGTCTAGGAGCACTCAGAAGAGGACAGTCTAGGAGCACTCAGAAGAGGACAGTCTAGGAGCACTCAGAAGAGGACAGTCTAGGAGCACTCAGAAGAGGACAGTCTAGGAGCACGGAGAGAACACAGGCACCGCAGTAATTGAGACGAAGCCTGGTTGTGATTTACTGGCTGCAGGATTCTGTTCAACCTTTTACCTATGTGAACTTTAATTATCATGCCTGAAAAATGGTCAAAACATCACCCGAATAAAATGTTTATTAACTCCATGATAAGCATTTGTTTCACCCACCCTTCCCAAGGTACTCTCTGAAAACCTACCGGTTGAAGTTAATGTCTGGGTAACTAGAATACTCCGATTTCATCTTGGCATTCCGTCGGGGGAATGTGCAGAAGAAAGCATTAGCTAAAAGACTGGCGATCTGTTCCTGCGACATTGTGATAGAATGATTCATCTTCTGTTTCAGAAGTGGTATTGGCTGATGGAGGAAACAAAAATACAGATGAGAAAAGCAATAATTAGTTTAGCAATTTTCAAGACAGAGGGACCAAATTGCATTTTCTAAATTAAGACAGGAATAATTTCAGGCCACTCTTGAGTCCTTAAATCAGCAACGCTGTTAAAGTCAAGGGCTGATTATCAGAGGTGATTGGAAAATGTGCTCATTCGACAGGATGCAGATTTCTAATCAATAATGAATGATACGAAGAGAACACAAATATTAGTTACTAGGGAAAACCAAGACTGCCTCAGCAGACAAACATTAACATATTACTCTTGTAATGAAAACTACAACAAGATGGAATCGAAGTACAATCCTAAGTTTAACTATTATTGTATGTAAGTTATAGTCTTACATTAAAAATGGTGGGATGAAGTACTTTTTCTTAGTACCAAATCAAATAATTAATATGACTGAATAATTAAGTCATTTCCCTCCTTTAGGGTAATTTCCTTATGAGAACCAAATCTAATTTTACTAAAATATTTAACAGAACATGTGAAAACTGTCACACAGAACCATTTGTAACTTGCAAAAATCAAGGCATCTTCTTTATACTAAAACACCCCAAGTCAAGGAAGATGCAGGACATCTTCCTTCAGTCTTTTGAATCTAAAATGTCTTTTTGTGGCAACCCTAACCTGTAAGTACAACACCCAGGACCTGAGCATTGCGTTCCATGGGTTTCCTTATGCTTAAACTGTGCTCCTCCAGACACGTGCTGAAACAAAGCAACTGTTTCCCCATGAGTTGTTGAGTTTTTAACAGTCCCTTCAAGTTTGAGAGCACTTTCCTTCCCCTTTGCAGCAGCACCCAGAAGAGTGCTGGCGTCCACACAAATCTCAAGCCAGATGCCTTACGTAACCATCCTGGCCAAGCAGTGCCACCCGAAACACACCAAGGTACGGTGGTTGAGACAGCAGGACTGCATTTTCTGAGTTAGCACAAAACACACACCAGAGTGAGAACGACACTTTGATGGCAAGAAGAAATAGTTAAACTTACAATTTAACTACTTCTTCTAAAACAATTAAAGGTAGCAACAGGGGAAAAGAAACATTTTTATACACCAGGTTGTACAAGGCAGAGGAGCCAGAAAATTCACATTGATCTCTATTTTCTCTCCAAAACATTTATTTGTAAGCTAGTTTTGAGGTTAGGCAAGGCAACAGAGTATAAGATGGTGTATAGCACACTCTTGATTGGTTTTAACTCTAATTTATCAAGTTACCCAGAAAAAATATTTCAAAAATTAGCAAATGTTTTAGGCTTAGTAGACAAATAGAATTTAAAAAAAGAATAAGTAATTTCTGTTCTCTTAGTGAGGAGAAATGCATAAAAGCTCACAAGAGTGCTCAGCTAGAAAAAGAGGCTAATACTACCCAAGCAAGGTATTTCAAAAGTTCCACAATTTGATTTTCTTTCTTTCTTTCTTTCTTTCTTTCTTTCTTTCTTTCTTTCTTTCTTTCTTTCTTTTTTTTGGGGGGGGGGGAAATCTAAGATTTATCTTTTAGGTTTGGCCTATAGTGTGTTAATGTGGAAAATCACTAAATACCAGCATATGCAATTTAACTCATCAAAAACATATTTCTACCTCAAACTGAAATTTTAATTTCTTACAACAGAAAATGACTTTTCTGTAAAGAGCATGGAATTAGGAGTTCCTCCACATCAGAGTACTAATGAAAGAATGAAGGTATTCTAAGTCAAGATAAAAAGCTAGACAGACATTACTTAGCAACTTACTATAGCCTACTAATTTAAATTATATTGAATAATAAATACTCCATGAAATAAAATAGCCTACATCATGTAACAATGCAGCAAAGGAGAGTACCACCCATGTCTAAAGAGTAGGCACTCTCTTTATGAACCAAACAATGAATTAAGAGCATTTAACTGAATGCTTCACACGAAACCCAGAGACACAAGAGGATCTCCCTTCCAGGAGAGTATCGTCTAGTGGAAGAAAGCAGGCAAAGCCATGAGTCAAAAACAACTTGGGAACTGTGAGCTGAGTTCAGCTACAAGTTGATTCAGGTTCCCTGGGAAAGCACGAAGGCTTTGCAGCAGAAGGAGCAAGAAAGCTGGGAAGTAGGGAGAGCATCACAAGGAAGGAGAGTAAGGGAAGAGGAGACACACACAGAGCACGAGCAAGCAGGGTCCAAGACAAATAATAGGAGCTGTTTAAAGTACGTCGTCTAGTAACAAACTTTATTCCAGATACATGCATCGCCGAGGTGAAACCTTAGGCAGCCCTGGAAACACCATAGTAAAACGCCAATGCTACTGAGCATGGCATACTGAAGAACATTCACTGGTTCTTGACTCAAGAGAACATGGCCCCAAGTAGACATCTGGACAAGTTTAGGATATGTGAGGCTGTCCCCAAAGACTGTGGTTATTATAGCTTTGGGTGTGCAATGAGTGGTATCATCCCATCCATCTGGAAATGGTTCAGCCTAAAAGGGCCCCTGTGGAGCAAGTGTTAGCAGAACCCTGGCTGGCATCAATGTACAGGGGAGCTAGCCTTAGAAATTGAAGACAACGACAAATTCAGGCAACTGTATGAAAAAAACAAAACAAAACAAAAACCTCCCCAAAAACCGTGAAGACAAGTATGAAGAGCAAAAGAGCAGGCTCCTGCAGAGTTTAAAAGTTCACAAGCTCCTTAATACTCCTCCTTTGAGAAGTGGGGTCTCCGGTGCACGCCCCTCATCCATGCGCACACAGGCAGCACTAATTCAACGCAGTAGAATTAAAGAGTAAATGATGTCAGGAGGGCAGCTGAAAGGAGGCTGTGCGAGAGTGAGGGTGAGTATGATCAAAGGACACTGTTCAAGTTACAGAATTCTCAAAAGGATAGTAAAAGTTACATTAAAACAAAACAACTGGAAGAATCTCATTTCCTTCCCTTTGGGTATGGCCTAGACTGAGCCAATAGGGAGAGAGGGAGTGAAAGTGACAATGAATGTGATTGGCCCTAAAAGGCACGACGGCTTCCCTGTTTTCTCCTCTGCACTAAGCAAGGCAGAAACCAAGTCCTCAGACACAATCAGCATATGGACAGGCCCACGTGCGGTCCTGTACCGATGTAAGCGAACTGCAGTGGAGCCTTAGATGGCCACAGTCCTCGCTGACACCCTGACTGCAACCACACGAGACCCTGAGCCACAACCCAAGGCGGCAAGCGGCTCTCAAATTCATGAGCAACAGAAACTAAGCTGGCACCGTCTCCTGTTTTAAGTCATTAGATTTTGAGGTTATCTGTTAGGAGCAACATGTAATTAATGTATTCCAAAATCATGCAGTACAGTATTTTTTCTTTTTAGTTTTCAAAGAAAATACCATGAATTCAACTACTATAGTAATGTATATCACTTTGCAGGAAGGTAAGGGAAATGTAGGTAGTATTAAATAATCATGAAATAATGCACCAGACTCACTAGTTTATTTTAAAATGATGAGCTTCAGAAGCCATTGTTGAAACAAATGGAGGAGCAGGAGTCTGAGCACACAAATCCAACAACAGTTGAACGCCGCATCCGTAGTGCTCCTCGCAGTGTCCTCTCCATGACACAGCAGACGTGTCGTGCTCTCCAGCAGAGTCCTGTTCCCACCTTAGCCATTTGAGCCCAAGGAAAGCACCAGGAAGTTCCATTTACTAACCTGGGTGCAAACGTTCGGCAGACAGAGCGCAATCTTCACCATGTCAGGTAAAATGGACTGATACAGATGCTGAGCCTCTGCTTCTTCAAGCACCTGAAAACCAACGGGACATATTGTGTGAGTAAGAGTAGCTAATAGCAACCACGTGCTAGTTTTGAATCCCCACTGTAAGATGCAGTGTTATCGCCAACAAACACATGTAGAAATAAACCAACAGGTTCACCAGTAAACTTACAAATTCATATCCTTCACCTAATTTTTTTCTAAAAATAAAGTATCTGCAAACCAAGTCTCTCTCACATCAACATCATTCACCAATAAACGTAACATCTGTAAAACCAGCAAGCTGGCTCATCAGGGAAAGGTACTAACGACCGAGTTCGATCCCCAGGCCCTATATGGTAGGAGACAACTGACTCCTACAAGATGTCCTTTGATCCCCATATGCACACATGCACGTGTGCACACATAAACACACAAACTAATAAACACAATGCTTAATGGGACACTTGTAAATAAAACAGGACACTCCACCCTTGGTTATATCAGCTGAAAAGTGAACAACAAAGGACTAGCTCTTAGAAGCCCTACAGCACCCATTTAATTTCAACAGTCACTACTATCAAGAAATCACCATAACAGCCACACGATTATTCTGAAGCATACTGCATGTGCCCAAACAAATCCGCTGACTAAGAATAAGTCACTAATATCAAGAAATCACCGTACACGATTATTCTGAAGCATACTGCATGTGCCCAAACAAATCTGCTGGCTAAGAAACAATAAGGTTCCATATGATCTTTAATTCTCCCTTGTTGGGCACACTGGGAAAGTAAGAGCCACATTTCCTGTATCACACATGAAAGCACACGAAGATGATGCTTATGGTCCATGTTCCTCTAGTTTTTAACTCTACAGCAAGTAAACACAAGATGATTATTAATTCTGAGGGAAACAACAAGTTGAAAAAATTCTAAGTACTGTGTATTAACACCCATTGCAAAAAGCACGACTGATGAAGTTAAAATGAATTTGACAACTACCACAAGAAGATGAAGAGGCAATATTAAGGTGGTGATGGGGGAGTCTGAACCATAGCCAAGTCCTCAGCCCCTACAGAAAACGATATTGATACACTAAAAAGGCTACACACAGTAACTGACCACCTGTAATCCCAGCACTCCAGAGCTTGATGCAGAAGGACCACCATGACAAATTTTAGGACAGCCTGGGCCACAGAGTGAAACCCTGTCCAATTCACAACAGTTAAGTGGCTATATCCTTACAATTAGTCTCTTTCAGTCCGCTAAAAATAAAAGAGGATGTGGAGAGAGGGGAACACTCCTCCACTGCTGGTGGGAGTGCCGACTCATACAGCCTCTTTGGAAATCAGTATGGAGATTCCTCAGGAAAATGGGAATCAGTCAACCACAAGACCCAGCAATTCCACTCTTAGGCATATATCCAAAGGAGGCAAATTCATACAACAAGGGCATCTGCTCTACTATGTTCATAGCAGCATTATTTGTAATAGCCAGAACCTGGAAGCAATCTAGATGCCCCTCAACTGAACAGTGGATAGAGAAAATGTGGTACATCTACACAATGGAGTATTACTCAGCAGAAAAAAACAATGGAATCTTGAAATTTGCAGGTAAATGGATAGCACTGGAAGAAACCATCCTGAATGAGGTAGCCCAGTCACAAAAAGACAAACATGGTATGTATTCACGCATATATGGATTTTAGACATGGATCAGGATAGTGCCAGTCTACACTTCCACTGACAGAGAGTCTGAGAAACAGGAAAGAACCTAAAAGATATGCATGGTACCCAAGAGAAGAGGAATGAGGCGGGATCTTCTGAACAGATGGGGAACACAGCGAGGGGGGGGGAGTGGGAGCTGGGAAGAAGAGAGGGGGAGAAGAGGAAGAGAGTAGGTCATGGGGGAACAGGAAGGTTGAGTGGGGGGGGGTAGAATAGGGGGAAGAGGGAATCATAGATTAGAAGACAGATCAGGCACCAGTGTGACCTCTAGTGATCTAAAGGGATGACACCAATTGGCAAGCTAAGCAATAGTGGAGAGACCACCTCGAATGCCCATTCCTGATAATGAACTTGATGTCTATAACCATCCGGGAGCCCTCATCCAGTGACTGATGGAAGCAGAGGCAAACACCCACAGTTAAACACTGAACTGAACCCATGGAACCCAGTGACACAGAGAGAGAAGCGATGAGCAAATTGGCAAAGAATGGGCTGGAAAAACCAGCAGAGACAGCTGACCTGAACAGGGGAGAGCTTATGGACCCCAGAACGACAGCTGGGAGGCCAGCATGGGACTGATCTGGACCCCCCAAATGTGAGTGTCAGTGAGGAGGCCTGGGCAACTTACGGGGCCCTGAGCAGTGGATCAATGTTTATCCCTGGCATACAAACAGACATCGTGTGTCCATAACACAAAGAGGGATGCTCTCTCAGTCTGGACTCTTAGGGGAGTGCCTGGACTCTACCCTGAGTGGAATTATAGACTCTAGATATCCCCTATGTGGAAGGAATTGGCAATAGGGTGGGAGGCTGGGGGGGGGGATGGTGGAGGGGTGTGGGAGGAGGGGAGGGAGAGGGAACTGGGATTGACATGTAAAACAAGCTATTTAAAATTAAAATAATAAAAAAGTGTGTGTGCATGCATGTGTGTGTATGTGTGTGTGCACGCGTGTGCACACACACGCACAACAACTAAAATTTAAAGGTATGTATCCATAGAGGACATTCATTGCTTCATAGCTACGAAGTAAAGACAACTGCTTTCCTCCATCTGAAACTTTAAGAGCATATTAATGTATTTGTTTACAACACTCGGACTCTTCCAGCTTGTAACTTCTTTATGCTTTGCAAACCCTTTTTATTTTAGAAGCACTAAATATTGGTAGGGTGTCACAAAAATAGCATGACAAAGTTCATTATATCTTGTAGTTGGAAGTTTTCTGTTCTACTGGACTGGCTTCTCTCCTGCCCACTGGTCCTCTCAGTTCTTATTACATAATCATTCTGAGGCTTAATATTAATTGTAATTGTTTGGCCAATGGCTCAGACACATTACTATCTAACTCTCACAATTAAATTAACCCATTTCTATTATTCTATTATTTCACCACTAGGTTCGTAGCCTGTTACCTCACATCTTGCTTCCCAGGAGGCTACATGGCCTTCTTTTACTCTGTAACTCTGTTTGGATTTCCTGTCTAGCTATATTCTGCCTGGTCATTGGCCAAAACGGCTTTATTCATCAACTAATAAGAGCAACACCTATTTGCAGCCTACAGAAGGACATCCCACATCAATACCTTTCAAGCATTTTCTCTCAATAGTCACATTTTATACACCCTACACCACACTATTAAAACCAGCATATTATATTAATAGTGTTGAAGTGTGCAAGTGGCATTATATGCCATTTGATCACGTGAATATACCTGTGTAACCAACACTAATCAAGACACAGAACTGTTCATTACAAAACAGAACTCCTACTATCCATTTACAGTTAAACCCTTATTCTCACCGACCCTAACACTAGCAACTACTAATGGATTTTTCATTTCCATAATTTTATGTCATGCAAACAGACTCAAAGTTTGTGGGCTGTTTTTCATTTGTTTCGTTTTTGTTTTTGATTTTTGAGACAGGGTTTCTCTGTGTATCTCTGGCTGTCCTGGGACTAGCTCTGTGGCCTAGGCCGGTCTCAAACTCATAGAGATCCTCCTGCCTCTGCCTCCCGAGTGCCTGGGAATTAAAGGCGTGTGTCCACTGCCTGGTCAGCTTGTGCTCTTTCATGTTGACATTTCATTAAAAAGCAAAAGCCTCAGAGATTCAGTAAGGCTGCTGCTACAGGTTCACCCTTTCTCGTGACTCTTACTAAGTGCCTTTACGTGATCTAAACACAGCATCAAGGAACATTTTGCTTTCCGGCTTTAGGTGCTTTAAGCTGTTATGGTTTGACTGTATCTTCCAAGGGCTTGTGTGCTGAGAGACTGGCCTCCTTGCGGAACTGATGGGAGGTCATAAGCAACTGATCCTATTAGACGGTCCCTGTGAGCACTGTTCTTGGGAGGCATTAACGTAGTCCTTAGCTAACTTTCAGAAGAGGGTTGTTATAGATAAGCACTTTCTTCACCTCTGGCTTCTTGTCTCACCATGTGATATCTCTTTTCCATAATTCCATTTTCATGATAGAGCTTAGAGGCCCTTGAATCTCCCAAATTGTGGGCTAAACAAGGGTCTTTTCTTCATAAAATATTATTCATTTCTAATTTTATCTGATTCCTTTCCCTTTCTTATGAGTTAATTTAGGACAGTAGAGAATTTCATTTGTCTATCAAAAACAACAAAAAACCCTTCAAACTGCATCTTTTTAAATAGAAAAATTAAAACAACTATATACAGAACACTCTAACACATGTTTAGTTTCTATATTAATCTTTTATTACATTTTCTTCTGTCACATTATCCATTCTTCTGTTCATCCAAGAATATACTTTTAAATATATTTTAAGTTACATCATTACATTTGTCTGTCCATAAAATAAATATAATTCTTTCAGAATTACAAGGTTCTCAACAAATAACAGGCATGCTTATGGTGAAACATTACAGAACCCCCCCTACCTTGTTTAACATTTTATACTGCCACTAGTTAAATTTTGGGAAGTCATTCTCATCTCTGTGTGATGTTTTCTCCTACTTGTTTAATGGGTCTTCCTTCCATGGCTGCATAGCTGAACACACACACCCATAAGAGCAGTTATTACAGTTTATAACCATTTTTACTAGTTTTTCTCCTCTGTCCTCAAATGGATAAAACATTGAACATGTAAGGATTGTGTTGTGAACATCCCACATCCCCACTACCAAGCACACTAATACTCAGCATTTGAAAAAGCTCAATAGTTCAGTCCTTCCTTAGCAAATACAAGGCCATTGATTTGTTCCCCAGTAACAGTACATACAGTAAAACAAAGTTAGCGGAGCTTGGGAGTTTCAATAAAGTGTATGCTGTATTCATAAGGAACTGAGTTGTAAGCCTAGC